ACAAGTGTGGGTCATGACCACCCGATCAAGGTTCCCAAACAGCCGTAATGTACAGACCATGCCTAGGCCAGTATTTCTTCAGGCCCTCCAGGGCTGATTTGTGTTAACTTTATTATTTATGAGTCTAGCTAGAAACTATTGCTCCTTTTCAACTATAAAAGCAAGACACATTTACTAATAAAGACTAAACAAAACCATAAAATTCAAATGAACAACATTTATTTAAAGTGATTGATGATGATGTTTGAGGACATCAAGTAGGCCCCTCCACATGAGGAGGGTAGGAGTGCCAGGGCCCAGGCTCTGGAATTCTTGTCATAGATGCCAAGCAGTGACAGCATTCCTGTTTGCTTTCCACTCTCAGATCCTCTGAAAACTGTCAGCGTGTCTCTTCCAGGTCACCCAGGATAGCTCTGACCTTTGACATCAACACAGCCGAAAAGTACTCGGGTCCTTCCCTCCCTTCCAAATTCTCTAGAATTTGCTTAGGTTGATCCCACTGACCCCAGTACTGGGATCAAAACTAGTATACCATTGAGCTACAACCCCGCCATTTTTATTTTTGAGGCAGGGGGCTTGCTAAGTTGCTCAGACTGACCTTGAACTTGCATTCTTTCTTAGCCTCCCAAATTATTACAGAAGTATGCCCCTGTACCTGGCTTACATTGATTTTTAAAAGATGAGGATGTAGCTCAGTGATAAAGTCCCTGGTTTCTATCCCTAGCACCACACCAAAAAAAGGTCTCTTCCCATCAAACACTTGAAACCTTACATCTGGAAAGTACACATGGTAGAATCAGTTTACTTGGTTATTATCTGCACCCACCATCAGGATGGAGCCCAAAAGGAAGTGCAGGAAGCTTCATCAATCTAGGTTAGGGGTCTGGATTAATACATAATGGAGTTTAAAGAAGGAGGCAAAGAAATTGTGGCTTGGGGGCAATGGAAGCTCAGAGCAATGGAGGGAGATGTTGCTCTAGTTGGAGCCAGGAGGCCACAGAGTTTTTATATCTGGTGTCTCCAGGGCAGGGAGGGCAGAGATGTGGGCTGAACCTCAGAACAGGCCACTGGGCATCAGCTTGGTCTCCCTGAGGGCGGGAAGCCTCTAAGTGTCAATCATACAATGACCATTCACCCTACATGGTGTCAGGCATGTGCCAGGCTCTCTTCTCCCATCAGAGAACTGACATCATCTCCCCGGGTTCTCAGGCATATACACCAAACAACCTGGGAGGGTCATCATCTGAGTCAGGGCCAGGTGGTCAGAGATGCTGCCAAATTTCAAAGTAAGTGGTTTTTCTAGAGCCCACCCAAACCATCAGCCCCACTGCTGCAAGGGCCCCAGATCCCTCTTTTGCAAGTTGGTTGAGCTTTCTGCCCTGCTACCACCCCAGCTCTTTCTACTCCTTACCCACCAACCCCACATATACAGCCCTGCACCCGAGCGGGACAGCAAAGACCATGAGCCATGTGCCCAGCAGAGCTATCCCAGCCCAGCACAGCTGTCCCAGGTGCTGGAATACTGATAACACCAGAAGGGTTCACAAATTACCTCTATTATAGGCCTACAGCAAGCTTGCCTCCCTAACATTCCCCTAGTCCTTCCCACAATCCAACAGATAAAGGATTATCATCCAGCTCAGTGGGAGCTCTCAGGAAGCTACTTTTCAGCCCCAGAACCAGCTACTAACAGCTTCAAATATCAACACCTCCCCCTTCGGAGTCTAGGAGGCTGAGTAGGGACCTGAGCTCTGGCCCAGCCCCCAGCCTGCTGAACCTCCAGAGAAGATAGCACTGTGCCCTCCATTTCAACATGCTCCCCTCTCCGGATACCACCCAAAAGAAGGCCCCTTGTCCAGCAGCTGCCTACAAGGCCACTGTCCAGCCAAGGACCAGGATACCCAAAGTTGGCAAGGAGCAAGCCTAGTGAACTGGTACTGCATTCACCTTCCCAGCATCCCACACCTGTGGAGCAGGAGTCAGAGATGCATATGAGCTGGTCCATGGGGAAGCCCTCATCAGGTGAAGGCACCAGAGTGGGCCAGAGGCTCTGAAAAGACCAACAGGAATGGGCATGGGAACAGCAGAACCAGGGGAGGCTGGTCAGAAGAAACCAGCAGGAACAGCAGAGTAGTGCCCTGTGGCTCCGTTGAGGATGTAGCTCAGTGAAAAAGTCCCTCGTTTCTATCCTTAGCACCACATGGTCCCTCGGACAGCCATAGGGAGGAAGGAGTAGGGACAGGTTGGAGCACGGGAGCAGGACCCCGTACAGACCTGAAAAATGGTAGGATTGAGAGGGTGAGGCAAAGCTATGCCAGGCAGCACTGCCTCTCAGGATTTTGTCCCGAGAGGTGGTGAGGCTCTCTTTCCCTGAGGCCTCAACACTTTTTCTCTTCTTGGTCCCCTCTGACACTTCCTTCAGGGATAAGGTGACTTTATGTGTCTTGGACTCTGCAGCCAAGAACAGAATTTCAGCCTGGCCTTCCCTGGGGCTGCCTTCAGGTGTTGGCTGACAGGCAGGCTGCTTGTGAACCTCTGCTGCCCTCTGAAGGACTGTTCTAGAATTGCATCTACTCAAGGGTTTCAGAAAAATACAGTGCATGCCCCAGCCAGGGATGGCAAGAGGTCTCTGAGCTCCAGCACCTCAAGATGCTCCAATATCCATCCCCCTCTGATAATGACAGGTGCAGAGCTCAGTTGGAACAGAGGCAGAGTTAAAATACAGGTATTTCACCCACAGACCCACATCCCCCACCTAAATGGGTCCAAGTGCCCTCTGAACCCCTCTGCCAGAGCTCAGCCCCCAGGCACCTTGTCTCTTAACTTTGGCAATTATCTCTGGTGCTTATGTGACATTTCATGTTCTTGCCATTTACTTGCCTCCCCGACACCTCACCACACTAGACTATCAGCTCCAAGAGGACAGGGGCCCCGTCCTCCTGATGCTCAGTAGAAGAGCTTATTGGACTACGATCTCCTCCAGATGAAGCAGCTCCTGCTGTACCCTCCTGCGGGATTGGTTCAGTCTCTTGCAGAACAAGCTGCAGCTTTGCAGGGGCCTCTCCCTCAGGTTGAGCTGAGCCTGCCCTCCAGGTCAATGAGTTCCCTCCTGGGCCTCCCCTGACCTTTTAAACTGCCCTCTGGCTCTCTAACATTACCACCTTTTCCTTTTCCACTGTGCATACACTCCTGTAAAGCCATATCAACCCCAGGAAGATGCCTCCTTCATCTGCAAATGAAGATGCAAAGGCAATCTACCTCACTGTACCCAAGGAAGGACCAGATAGGGACAATGTCCTGGCCCCTTTATGACATCAGGGCCTTGAAGGTCTCCACTGTGACTGTGCTTAGACAATTGCTTAATTGCATGAAAGCGGTTAAGATGAAAATAGCATGTTTAAAACTTCTATGGGGCAACTGGCCCTGAGAAAGGGTATTATTCTGCACATCTTGAGGTAAGAAGCCTGTAGGCTTTAGACTCATCCATGTCACAAAAAAAAAAAAAAAAACAGAGAGCAGCTTGGTCAGAGCGAAATCAGGTGGCCTGATCACACTTGTCATCTCCACATATCACATGGCCACAAAGCTAACTAGAAAACCCTAAAGATATGGACCCTGGGGGAAAGTCTTCCCAGCAACAGAGGACCGGGCTCCACCAGCACTGGGGGCTCTGCAGTAAGGCCAGTTGCATCTCTGCCCCACTTCACAGAACAGAACAAGGCAAGCTGGGACCTCCACAGGGGTTCCCACCTGAAGAGGTGATGGAAGGAGCTGGTGCAAAGGCTTTCCTGAGGGCACAATCTCCAGTGCAGAGCTAGTCCTGTTGCTTTAAGAGCCACAGGTTGGAATCTGGAGTCCAGACTGTCCTGGCAAATTGCAGAGAGGGCCTTAGATTTCAATAAGTGACCTTTCTGTTGGAGCTAATTGAGGAGGGCTTGCCATGATGCCAGACATGAGACGCCCGCCAGGGAGGAGAGAGGGAGGAAGGAGTGAGAAGGCGGGGCTCTATGCCTGCTGCTTCCAGTAAAAGGCAGGCGTTTTGGCAGTAGGCTTCAGTCTTGTTGCTATTGTAAATCATAATAAGCGGATTATTGCAGCACTTGTTCTTAAAGTTTCCCCAAATTGTTCCAACTGAGTTGTGAATAGCAGCAGGATTATGGGCAGAGTTTATTTATAGGCAGGAAGAGCCCTCAGCGCTTTATCTTCCACTCAAAGACTCCATGCACTGTAAGCCCATCTCCCCTTCCTGCCCAGCCCAGGTTGAGCAAAGCCCCTGTACCCAAGTCCCCTGGGGCTGGCAGGGTGGAGTTGCAGCAGTTGACCCCTCAGCTGCTCACATGAGCTTATTTGGTATGAAAAATAAAGAGCTTCAAAAAGACTTGAGTTGGGTTTCCAAGTCAACTAAGTATTAGTAAAAACCTTTGGGTATGGGCAAAATTTCTCCAACTCTCCTTCCAATGGGGATCTCCACCCGCAGGCTGGGCCACCCTTCCTCTGTCTGGGCTGCACCAGGGCTGGGCCTTCCCCTGTGCCAAATTGCCAGAGTTGACATTTATGTCAGTGTTTCCATTATAAAATGCTTTTTTCCTCCTTCAAGAATATATAATCAACTGTTAAATTAACTCTCAAAGCTGCAGCTGGCAAAGTATTTTTATTTCCTTTCGGATAGAAGGTGCACCTGGCCAGGTCTCCCCAAGATCCTCCCTGGAAAGACTACCACTGGGAAAAATAAAGAGTTTCAGCAGCTCTAGGTCATCCTCATGAATGCAGGGCTATGGGCCGTGGCCTAGGGTTGCTTGGCCAGGGAACTGTTAAAACAACAGCTACTCAGGAATAAAAAATCTTAGAAACCTGTGGTGTCATGGCCTGGAACCAATAACAAAAGGCTCCATTGAGACTCCAAGCTTGCCAAAATACCTGTACCTGACCCAGCACCCAACAAGGGAAGCACTCAGCACACAACTCACATCAAAATGCAATGCAACGTGTTAGCCCAGTTCTAAAAATCCTTATTAACGCCTTTAATATACAAGAATCAAAAGTACAGCAGTTTTACAATGTAGGAAAATTTAATACATACTATATAAACAACATTATTTACATCAGAAATCACTAGGACAGTGGCATTTTTCACAAATATAAATTAATTACTGTTTAGTCAACAGATTTAAAAGTCCACAATTTTACAATAAAGAAAAAAACCACCTGTCCCCAGGCGGGTGGGGCACAGATGGACTAAAGCAGCCTGGACCCCGACAGTGGCTCTCCTTGCCCAACTTGGCTGCCCCTAGATGAGCCAGAAGACTGGTGCTGGGCTGGGCCACTGCTCCTGCTGACAAGTGGATTTTGGTCTGTAGGATTTCAGTATTGTCAAGTGAACTCCCAAATAAATTGCCTTTGCACCTCAGGCCTGATGCAATTTTTAGACTCAGGGCCAGAATGTCTGCAGCGTGTTGGGGTAAAGTGTGGGGTTCCCTTGGAAGGGTTTAGGGAATGCCTAATGTGAGAGCAAGCCTAGGACCATCAGGTTAGGCTCCCCAGAGGGCCTGGCTGTGTCCCTCCAGTCCCCCTGAGAGACTACAGTGAACAGCACGGGAGCTCGCCTTGTCCTTTTCTAGGACTATGGCACATCCTCTCCATCCCTGTTTACTTCAGATTTTGATGATGCAGACTCCCTCCTTCCTCACTTCCTGCTATTCATTCAAAGCCAGGCTCCATGTAATACCATCCTCAGATTCCTGGGGCAGTTTCTCCCATTTCCAAAAGTGAGAGAATTTTACCTGTGCAAACTTCTGTTGTGATTTAAACATATACTTGTACTGATTAAAATCAGTGAGGAAATGCCTCCTTTCTCCCAACCCACTTTTCAAATAAACTTCAACACCTAAAACAGATGTTTAATGGGGGATACTGTAATTTTAGAATCAATATAACACTGATCTGGCCCATATTGCCTTTTGCTACATCATATGGCACTAAAAGTCCTGAATGTGAACAAAAGGAAGTTCCTTTTTTTCCTCATGATGAGACATCTTTGGGAATAACTCACAACTCCTATCAACAACTTGAGAGAAAAACCTGGGTAAGTATGGATGGTGCCTCCAACCCTGCAGCTTCCCACGGGGGCTCATCCCCTTCTTACCCCGACATCCCAACACTCAAGGTCCAGCAAATCAACCCAATCTTCCTCTTTGGCTTGGGCAGAACACAGGATAGTATTGATATTATCAGCAAGAAGCTCCATCTGTGGTTTCCTTTTCCATGTGTGGTCAAAGTGGAGATTTGATTTCCTGCCTTCACTGAGCAGTCATGGCAGGCCTCCCCATGGGAGGATGGAGGCCAGATGCTCCGGGCTCTGTTGTAGGGTGTGCATGTACAAGGCCAGGGTGAGCCACCCCAAGTACAATAGAGGCTAAGAAGGTAGTGAGCCTTCCCTGCAGGAACCCTGACTCTCACCTGGAAACTCAGCACCAGCCCTATAATGCTCTGTACAGCAGGAGAAATGGCTCACCATGGCTATATCTGTTTCCCTCAGGGGAGGCAATGCGGGCATGTTTTGGTAAAGCCAATAACGGTGCTGCCTAGGATATCAGCAAGTATGTGACAAATGATCTTACAGAGGTCCCCACAAGTTAGTTCAGGGAGTTCAACCCTGCACATACCCATTAGCTTAAAACCTGGATACTCGTATGTTCAAGTCAAGTTTTTCTGTCTCCATCTGGAAAAGCTTTGGATACAATACTGGCAAGCTATACTGAAAATTAATAAAACAAAAGGCCTGAGCATCAGTACAGTGAAAGGAGCTTGCCTTATGATACAACAAACCTGTCCCCCAATCCTGCCTCCATTCAACTCCAGTACAACTCTTACCACTTATAACTCAGGCACCCTGTCTGTAGACAATTTCTATTTGGGAAAAAAATTAACTTAGGTTTATACTTTACAGATCTTATACTAAAGGAAACCAAGTATAATTCTACTGATCTCTAACAAGCAATGGAAACTTCTTCACCACAGGTTACTTATTTTCATCTCACCACCCCATGAATTCTGGGAGATCTGTGTAATCTACTTTGTCAAGCTGTGCAAAGGAAACTAAAATGTAGCTGCAGATGTTGACCTATTCCAATACTGAAAGCTCCCCCATTTGCTGGCACTACTAAAGCCCCCTTTCAAGAAACCTGCCAACCACCTACACAAGTGTTCCCACCTCTGTGCTTGCCCACTGGTCAGCAGGCCTGCCTCTGCTTCTTGTCCAGGACCTGTGGTTTTCCTCTCGCCACAAGAATCAGAAATCCACCAGGGATTCCTGTCCTGGTCACACTAGGCCCCTCCCTACCTCCACCCTAGACCCACTCAGCCCAATCCCCAATCAAGGAATAACCACGCTGACATCCATGTTGCCTAACTCACAGTACTTGAAAATCAGTCAGAAGGACACTACTTTCCCTGGCACAGGGAAAAGCAGGCCCACCCAGGAGACCAAACCCTTGAAATGTACAAAGACAGTGTGGGGAAAATTAGTGTTGGTAGGAAGGAGGACATGGTAGAAGTAATTTTCCTCTCTTGCTGTCCTCTACCTACTCCCACCCTGTAGTTTTCACATAATGAAGCCAAGTGTATAATCTCTCCCAAGGACACGTTTGAGGAGTACACCTGCTCCCCTTTAAGTCCTATGATATGAGATCCACCCACTCACCCCACTCCCCAACAGCAGCATCCATCATGTCATAGTGAACCAAATCCCACACTGTCCAGCAGATCCTGGTAGCCTTCATGCATCAATTCCTTCCCCTGACCACTGCACCAAAGTCCAGGAACACTGAACCTGGCAGTTAAACATTCATGACTCTTAAGATCCCAGATTCCTTTGCTGGGGAAACAGCCCAATAAAGCTGGTGCACAAAAAGTCACCTCTTCCTCCTAGCACCCATCAGGTGAGAGGCCAAAACCAGGCTGGAGTGGGATGGGGTGCCAAAGTGCAGGAGTGGTGACCCAAATCAAAGCCCGCCCGAAGAAAGGCCTCCCACTCCTTCAAGTGCTCCTTCAGCCGGTGAGTTGACGGCAGCAGCATGTCCAGAAACTCCACTCACCGGTCTAGATACCTGGCCACTGTTGGACCAGACCAAAAACGTCCACATGATGACTCCTGCTCTCCTCTTTCTGAGCTGTCCTTTATGTTTTCCGAACATTCCAGTTATAATCTGGGTTGTTTTTCTGTTCTAGTGATCTCTCCAAAGGAGACCTGTGATCCAGGGGTGACTTGGAATCGTGAGGAGATTTCTGAGAAGGGGGTGAACGAGGATCTGAGACTGCAGGGTGCAATGGGGGCAGGGGCTGTTTATATTCCCCCAATTTGTCTGTGTGGAAAGAGCGGTAATGGTCTGAGGGTCCCTGGCCATGGTAGCCCATAGGGGGGCGGTGATCAGACATTCGACGGAAATCCTGCTGGTGGTAATTTTGAGGCCTAAAATCATCAGATCTCCTCCTCTTGGAGTCATGATGGTGTCTGAAACAGAGATGTGAAGATTAGCTGAAAGACCAAAACCAGATTCCCATCCACTGGGATTTTCTAATACACTCATACTCAATAGACTCAGAGACAAATGCTTACATTACCAGGAAGCAAAAACAAATAAACAAATAACAACAACCACAAAATTAAAGCAATTACAAAAGATCATTTTTCACTTATTGGTAAAATGCATCCTATAAAATGACACAGAACTTGCTGATACAGTACACATACACTTGAACAATCACTGATGGCTTTGTAAACCATACTCATCAGGAAAATATACCAACTATAAACATTTTCATGTATCTTGACCAAGTTCAGGAGGAAAAAACTCACTGAAATTACTTTGTAAGTTATTAGTAACTCAGATATCAACCTAGATAGTCAAAAACATGTGAAAGGTTGATAAAATTATTTTTTAAATTGACTCTGTTAAGAGTACTGAAACTTTAGTTTGGGCCCTGACAAACTACTCATTATATCATTAAAAGACTACTCAAAAGGTAAAACAACCCAATTTTAAAACAAAGGACTTGAATAGACATTTTTCCAAAGATAAACAAACCACCAATAAGCACAATGAAAAGATGCTCAATCTCAGTAATAGTAGGGAAGGGCATATCAAACCCACAATGAGACCATTTTACATACACTAGGATTGGCTATATTTTTTAAAAATATAGAAAGGTAATTAATGATGAAGATGCTGATAAATTACACTGTCAGACATTGCTGGTAGAAATATAAAATGGTTCAGCCACTGTGGAAAACAGTCTGGTGGTTCCTAAAACATTAAAAAATTATAATATGACTTAGTAATTCCACTCCTAGGTAAGTATACACACAAGAACTAAAAACAGGTATGTGAACAAATATCTATATACCAGTATTCACTGCAGCTTTATTCACAGTAACCAAAAGATAGAAACAAACTCAATGGCCACCAACAGATGAATGAATAAACAAAATGTGACATTTATCCATATACTAAAGTACTATTCAGCCACATAATAATGATAAATGCTACAATGTACACAAACTGCAAAAACATGTTAGGTCAAGAAGCCAGAAAAAAGGTCACATATTATATGGGTCCCCCCTGCAGGAAATGTCCAGAATAGGTAAATACATAAAGAATGCAGACTGTCAGTTCCTGGCCAGGGCTGGGGAGAGAGAAGAATGGGAAATAATTGCTTAATGGTTATGAGGTTTTCTTTGCAAGTGTTTTGGAACTAGATGGAAGAGACTGAATAACACTGTAAATGTACTAATGTAACTGAACTGTTCACTTTAAAATGGTTCATTTATGCAGTGTGAAGTTCACCTCAGTGAAAGGAGTATGGGGAGAATTAGGTATTCAGGTTCAAAGAAACAAAATGTACAGAACTATGGTTTTCAAGATACCACATGAACAACAGTGCTCCTTGAGGGATGAAAACTAATGAAATTAGTCTTCTAATTCCCGCTGCTCACTACTATATCACAGAGAAAGATATGACACAGGGAGAGGAAAACCTAGGAAGAGGCTTTCAGACTGCTGGTGGACCAGAGTTCACATGACATGGCATAATCGAAGAGAATCCTGCATAAACAGAAGATCTGAAGATCTGCACAGGGTTCCTTCCCCTCTTCAAGTTCTTAACATTGCTCGGGATATGAATGTGAGGAAAGGACCCATGGCTAGGGAAAGAACCACCTAGAAGGATTAGAGGTTATTACCTTGTATTCACACAAAGCCCAGCAGCGGATCTTGCCAGCCAAACCCATAACCTTACTAAATTTAAGGGGCATTATTGAGTACAGTGTAACAGGGATTCTTACCTAAGGGTGGGCAATAATTAGCCCCTGACCAGGCACTTACTCCAGTTCTGCCTAATAAATCTTATCAGTAAGATCTGGAAGAATCAAACTTTCCAAATAATCTGCACCTTATAATAAAAATTTAGAATACTTATAGAACTATAAAAAGCACACAACAAGGTAAATTTTACCTTGCATCAAATAAAAAATCATGAGGCAGTGAAACTAACACCCATAATAAAGAGGTAAATCAATTGAAACTGACCCAAATGATATAATTAGCAGACAAGGGCACTGAAATTATTCTGATAACCTATATTCCACTTCTGAGAGTTTAAACTGAGACACAGAAGATGAAGGAAGGAAAAAAAACACACACACACACACCCTAATACAATTTTTAGAGATAAAAACTACAAGGTATGAAAAGTATATTTTATATAATGAATAGGCCTCATGGGCAGATAGACAATGAAAAATAAAATATTAATACACCTGGAAGACATAGAAATAGAAACTATCCATAATTAAAAAGAAAAAAAAAAAAGAAAGTCCTTCAGGAAAAGAAAAATGGTACCAAATAGAAATACAGATCTATCTATGTAAAGGCAGACAGAGAAAGTATCCACTAAAGCCAGATGAGAAAGGTACAGTGAGGGCTGAAGTCTCCTTCTAAGGAGATGTCTGACACTAGGCTACCACTGCTCAGCTAATGTAGTCTGCCTTTCCAGATCTTTCAAAACAGAAGACATTGAGGGATATGAACAAAATTTTCCCACTTTAAATTCAAGCTATAATCCAGGGCTAAGGTGTAGCTCAGTGGTACAGCACTTGGGTAGCACATATAAGGTCCTGGGTTCCATTTCTAGCACCACAGCTAGCAAACAAACAAAGCATCAGCAGCTGAGAAAAAAACAAATGCTATGAAGCTAAATAAATATATAGCCAATTCCTAAATTCAGAAAATTTAGGGAAAACTTTGTCAGCATTCCCATACTTGCTAATTCTCATAATTTAAAAGTACTGGCTCATCATATCACTGGTAGTTTTATATAGCTATACAGCAGACACAATTTCAAAGGCCTTGACTCTTAAATTATGGAATTCTGGCAAACCAAGGACCATTGGCTTATTTCATCTCAGAATCCCTACTACCTAATGTGCTACTGAGACTATAACAAAGAGCTTAATATTTCTTTTTCTTCTTCTTTTTTTGGGGGGTGGGGGTGGGGGGTTGTAGAATTGAAAATTAAACCCAGGTCCTTAAGCATACTAAAAAACTGGGCAAGCACTTTACCACTGAGTTTACCCTACCCTCACCCCACCAACCCTTTATTTTTAATTTTAAGGCAGGGTCTCACTAATTTGCAGAGGCTGACCTCAAACTTGCAATACTCCTACTTCAGCCTGCCCAGTAGATGGAATTACAGGCATGTGTGGGATCACTATCATGCCTGACATAAAAATCCCTACTCTTAACCATTTCCTCCTATAAGTAGTTCTTGGCGAGGTCAGTGCACGGTGTCTCAGAACTTTTTACATACCTGTCATAATAATCTCTGTGTCCCCGGTGGTCTCGGTCACTGCTGTACTGATCATATGGTCTTTTTCTGGACAGATTGTTGGGTCGATAACTTCCAGAACGGTGGGCATCCATATGTCGCCGGTCCCCATAGTGGTGGTCCTTGTACCAGTGCTGCTCATACTGATGATGCCGGTCACTTCCCCATGGTGGATTACTGTTGCCACCACCATAGTTGAACTTTCTTTCCCTCTGCCAGTCTCCTCGATCTGCAGAAAAAGAATCTCATGACTATAAGAAATGACTGAATCTCAAAAGGTTTGAACTGAAAGGCTGACACATGTTACAAGCAAACATTAAATCTCCTGATGGTTAACATATCAGTAATGAGTGTTAACATTCTCCCTTCCTCCTAAAATCTAAGAACTGCTACTTTTCATTTTCTAGATCTGTTTACCTTCCAATCTGTGACAGATGGTCAAAAAAAACCAAAAACAAACAGTAATTTGGAAAACAATACATTGAATTTCACAGCTGCAAGATAATACCATCTCCCCTCGATTTACACATCTAAAGTTTATTTCACCTAATACAGTTAGGCTGTGTCATTTCTGAAAATATCTTGATTATATTAACTGATTCTCCTATTCTTTTTCCCTAGCCCACAACTAGACCTCTTCCTCTGACAAAAAGTAATTCTTCTAATTATGAACTTGGATCAGCATTCGAACTCTTAAAAGATAAGGCCAAACTAAGATCCATTTAACTTCTGTAGCTTCCCTTTCACCTAAGGGAAGGACTCACACTTACTTGGCTCAGAAAAGGTAGTGAAAACACAGAAGCCCAGGGATGGAGGCTGTTGTGATTTGAATTATAACCCCCCAAAATTTATGTCTACCCAGAACTTTTGAGTGTGACTACTTGAAAATTGGGTCTTGTAGATATAATTAAGTTAAGGATCTTGTATTTAGCTTAAATCCAATGACAGATATCATTTTAAAATGGAGGCAGAGGGAGGTATAAGACCCCAAAGCAACTCATGTAAAAATGCAGGCAGAGATCAGCATGATGCCACTACAGGTCAAGAACACCATGGAGTGTTGGTAGCAGGCAGAAGGCAAGGGAAAGGCATAGAACAGGTTCCCCCCTCAGAACCCCAGAAGAAACCAACCCTGCTGACACGTTTAATTTCAGGCTACTGGCCTTCAAAACCGTGAGAAGACACATTTCTGATGTTTTAAGCCACCTAATTTGTGGAACTTCATTACAGGTAGCCCTAAGAAACTAATACAAAGGATTAACCAGAAGGAACTACAGGAACTCATGGAAAAATCCATCTTTAGTCTACATCTGACAAAGACATGCCACCAAATAAGTGTCTCTCCAACTAAATGTCTCTCAATAAATTTTGCTGGCCTTCTAGCATTCTTCCACAGAGTCAAATAACATCATCATTAAGGAAGGTGTATAGCTTAGAAATATTACCATTAATCTAATAGTCAACCTGAAGCTTAAGGTCATTGTTGATCCAGGTGGATCAGACCAGAGATAAAACTTGACTATTCAACTAAAGAATTAACAAAAAGCAACAAAGATATCACATCATGAAAGGGTCATTTGAAGATGGATTCAAATCAAAGTATCAATATCTGTGGTATACCTGAGTCAAATGTATGAAAGATGATATATCATGAGCTTTGTAATGTTTTGAACAACCAATAAAAAAAAAATCTGTGGTATAGTAGAGATGCTTGAAACTCAAGCTAAGTCATTTATTTCCAGAATAAATCAGTACTTTTCTTGAATCCTCCGTGATACAGATCACTAGTTAGGAAATATTGAGCTAGTAAGAAATCCAAGAATGTAGGTAGCTTAATACGAAATTCTTTGAAAGGATTCAGAATATAAGTGACACCATATGAATAACACAAAACCAACCTAATACCCATAAGGTCAGTATAAAGAGGAGGGCACAGGAGAGGGAAAGTCGAAATACTGGGGAATGATATTGGCCAGGTTATATATTGTTATATTGTGTGCGTGTACAAATATATAACAATAAATCCCACCAGTATGTACAACTATAATTCACCAATAAAAAATATGAAAAAGTCACACAACCTAAGAACATAGTAATATTTCTCAATCATCCTGTATAGTCATTAACTTTCTTCTCTTCAATAAAATGGTGATCCATTAATTTTGAACTTATTTTTTGTTTTATTTTTAAGATTAGAGGAGGGGCTGGGGATGTGGCTCAAGCGGTAGTGTGCTCGCCTGGCGAGTGCACGGCGCTGGGTTTGATCCTCAGAACCATACACAAATAAAATAAAGATGTTGTGTCCGCCGAAAACTGAAAAATAAATATTAAAAAATTCTCTCTCTCTTTAAAAAAAAAAAAAGATTAGAGGATGTGGGACTTCTGCTTTCAGTTAAAGTAGCTTGCAGCAGAACTATACTCTGTCAAGGACAATGAGAAAGGTCAAATAAAAATAATTCTTTTAAAGGCATCAAAGAGCCACTAAAGCAATCAGGTCTAGATGTACTAAGATTCCAAGGAGCAGATAAAAGGAGCTGATTTCTGCAGCCACCTAAAAGTTTGTGGTTCTGAGAATAGGAAAGAGGCTGAAAAGGATCTAGAACCACTGCTGAGGAAAGTGGAAATCAGCACAGCTCTGGGCAGGGGCGTCTTTCTAGGTTACAGTGATACTGGAGATTTGAGGGACTTCAAACATATGCCCAGCTTTTCCAAGGGTATTCATTGAATCTGCAAGAGCAGGAGGCTAAAAGATTAGCTGAAAACCATCTGAAAAGCACTGCAGTTTGGGGGCAGTCTCATGATTCTAGAGAAACAAAAAGCAGAGTTGAAGGCCTGCTAGAGAGGACTTCACACAACTAGCTCTTAGCTGAGTGGAAAAGCTAAGTCCCTGGAGAGAGGTGAACCAGAAGGTGAAATACACTGAGATAAGCACCTCCCATTTTTGTGCTTACTGGAGAAGCTGAGTCTCCTTGGGAGGTAGATTACAGAATCTAGAGCTTCTACCAGTTTTAAAACACCATGTTCCCAATTCAAACAAAAGTAACTAGGCATCTCAAAAGAATCACCGCATGACTGAAAACCAAGGGGGGTGGGCACAGTAGGAAATAATTCAGATATTCAAGGAATTTGGGGCAAAATTTTTCAAATAGCTATTTTTTAATACAAAAAGATAAGAAAACAAAACAGATATATATTATATAATATATATATATAAATACTTATAATATATAAACTAAAATTTTACCAGAAGACATGAGAAATTCTAGAAATTTAAAATGTACTCCATTTTGATTACTTTGAAATATTTAAATCTTTATAAAATAAATCTTATACTACACTTCTATACCTACTACATGCTTTTAAAATCTTAATTCTATATTTTCCCTTTTCTTATTTTTAAAGTAAGGCCAGATGTGGTAAGTGCACACCTGTAATCCCAGTGACTCAGGAGCCTGAATCAAGGGGATTCCAAGTTCAAGGTTAGCCTCAGCCAAGTGAGATCCTGTCTCAAAATAAAAAAAAAATTTAAAAACATTTTTAAAAGGGGTAGAGACGCATCTCAGTGATAAAGTATCCCTGAATCCAATGCCCAGTACTAAAAAAAAAAGGGGGGGGGGCGAGTTTCATGCTCATTGTAATCAGACAATAGACAATGGATAAGACTTCTTTGAAATCTTATCCCCTCCATTCCTACCATGTCAACATAATTGTTATTAATGCCACATATATGCTTTCAAATCTTTCTCTATCCTTATACAATATGCTATTTGTATACTACAGAAAACAGTTTTGAGGTTTCCCATAGAAAGCAAAACAGAGAATTACCATTATGAACCAGCAATTCCACTCTGAGGTATATACCTAAAATAATTAAAAGTAGACACTAAGGGTTGGGGTTGTAGCTAAGTGGTACAGCGTATAGAACTTGCCAGCATGCATGAGACCCTGGTCAATCCCCAGGCACCCCCCCCCACACACACACACACACAAGTACTCAAATATCTGTTTACATTGGTGTTATTCCCAATAGCCAAAAGTAGTAACAAATCCAAATGTCCATCAATAAATGGATGGATAAACAAAATACTGTACATTTACTCAATGGAATATTCTCTTGCCATAAAATGAACTAAGCACTGACACATGCCACAATGTAGACGAAACTTGAAAACATGATGTAAAAGCCAACCACAAGAAATCACAAGTTGTAATTATTCCTTTTATATATTAAATATTCAGAATAGGTTAATCCAGAGAGACAGAATACAGACTGGCACTTGCAGGCGTGGAGAGAATAGGGAAATGGGGATTAACCCAATGGGATTTCATTTGGGATGATAGTTGGAACTAGATAAACATGACTGGCAACACTGTGAGTGAACTAAATACAACTAAATCATTCACTTAAACTTTTTTTTTTTTTTGGTACCAGGGATTGAACCCAGGGGCACGCAACCACCAAGCTACATCCCTAGCCCAATTCTGTATTTTTATTAGAGACAGGGTCTGAGCTACTTAGTGACTTGCTTTTGCTCAGGCTGGCTTTGACCTCGTGATCCTGCTGCCTCAGCCTCCCAAGCTACTGGGATTACATGCATGCACCACCACGGCCCATTCACTTACAAACTTTTGAATTCACACTATGTGAATTCACCTTGATAAATTCAAAAGCACACACATAAACACATGTACACACATGGCTGCTGCTACTGCTTATTTTTTCTTTCACCTTTTTTGGTCATCTTTAAATATAAAAACCCAGCTTATTCTTTGAATAATTAATAATGGATACAAATGTTCCATTACTCATCTAATCCACTACTAATTATCTAATCATTTCACTAATTAGTGAACATTGAAGTTATTTCCAGTCTTTTATTTATTTATTTATTTTTAGTCATACATGACAACAGAATGAATTTTGACATATAATACATACATGGAATGTACATAGATCAATCATATTGTCAATTCTATTCTGCTGCTCTTCCTATCCTCCTTACTCCTCCCCTCCTCTCCCATCCTTTCTCTCTATCCAATCTAATGTGACACATTTTTTTTTTTCTTATTTCCAGTCTTTTGACATTGTAAGGCTGGAACAGAATCCTCACTCAGCTATAAGTTTTCATTTCTACAGGACAAACTGCCAGAAAAGGGATTACAGCTATCAAAAACCTATGTATTCAGATATTTCAAATTATTTTCTAAGTAGAATGGTAGCAATTCTCACTCTTAGCAACTGGCATTTCTCCTTTTAATTTCTGTTGATCTGAATGGTTTAAATATATTGGTTAACTCACTGTGCATTTAATATACTTCCCCAATGCAAGATTGGTCATCTTGTTAGTTTGATTCTATCCCCATCCCTAATCACTGCCCAAGTTTTTTCTTTTTAACAACACATAAACTGCTCTAGAAAGACTTTTTTTTTTTTTTTTTTTTTAATACTGAGGATTGAACCTGGAGCTTCACACATGCTGGGACACATTCTACCCCTGAGCTTTACCCACAGCCCCTATAAATTTTTTTTTTCTTTTTTAATAATCATCCATAAAACTTTAATTTGTATTCCTTTTATGAATTTTGTCTCAAGAATGCAATTTAAGAACTTTTTATTTGACAAAAATTATGTATATTTATCCCATACACATTCAAAATATGTTAATTATGGAATGGCTAGACAAAGTTGATTACCATATACACTGTTTCACACACTTTTATCTTCTGGAGAGAATACTTAAAGTGATTTTGAACTCTTTGTCATTTTGAAGAATACAAAAACAATCGGTCACATTGTACAACTGACTCCTCCTATCCAACTGAAATTTTGTATTCTTTGACCAATATTTCCCTCAATTCCACTCCCAGCCCTCCAATCTATGGTACCACTCTTCCACACTCTGCTTCTACAAGTTCAAACATTTTCAGGCTCCACATATGAGATTATGCCATATTTGTCTTTCTGTGCCTGATTTATGTCACTTAAATGTCCTCCAGGTTCACCCATGTCATCACAAATGGCAAAATTTCATTTTCCTTGATGGCTGAATAGTATTCCATTAAGTATATGTGCATTTTCTTTACCCACTCATCTGCTGACGGACACTAAAGTTGATTCTATATCTTGACTACTGTGGATAATGCTGCAATAAACATGGGGGTAAATATCTCTTCAATATACAGATTTCATTTTCCTTTGGATATATACTTGCAGTAGTAGAATTGCTGGGTCATATCATGGTTCTACTTTTGTTAGTAACCTCCACATGCTTCTATAATGGCTGTACTAATTTACATCCCCACTAATCCTGCACAAGGATTATTTCTTCTTGTCCTTGTCAACACATTATTATTTTTTGGAAGGAGGCGGGGTATTGGGGATTGAACTCAGGGATACTCAGCCACTGAGCCACATCCCCAGCCCTATTTTGTATTTTATTTAGAGACAGGTTGCTTAGCACCTTGCCATTGCTGAGGCTGGCTTTGAACTCAAGATTCTCCTATCTCAAGCCACTGGGATTATAACACATTATTTTTTGTTGTTTTGATAAATGCCATTCTAACATGTGTGAGGTAATTTATCACTGTGATTTTAATTCATATTTTCTGATGATTAGTGATGAGCATTTTTAAATATATCTGTTGACCATTTGTATGCTATTATTCAATCAAACTTTTGAGACTAAAAGATCTCTGAAAAAAAAGTTTATTGAGCTATACAGATGCTAGTCAAAATTTCCCACTGGACCTAAAGAGCGTGGGTGTTTTATGATAAAATTTACGGAGAAGAAACATAAATCATTGACATTGAACTTACATTAGTTACAGACAAGAAGGGCAGGACAACGCAAAGTGGGCAGAGTCCTGGAATAGGAGGTTAGTCCATAAAGTGAACTTTTGCTACTTCTTGATTGATTGGTTCCAAAAGCAGAATGTGATGTAGCCTTGATGAGCAATCTTCAGCATACAGGAAAAGAATGTGGAGTAGCTCTTTTTCTAGTTGGTTTAGCTTGAAGCTGTGAGTTAAAATTACTTTCTCTTATCTTTTTCCTCCCTCCATTCTATGGCCTGTAACTTAATTTAGGACACCTCAGAATTCTTCTCTTATCACCCTCTTCTGAGAAATGTCTATTCAGGTCCTTCTGGCCACTTTTTAATCTGGGCATTTTCTTGCTATTGAGTTGAATTCTTTATATATATTGGATATTAACCTCTCATTGGATGTACAGTTTGGGAGTTATTTCCTCTCATTACGTAAGTTGTCTCTTCACTCTCCTAGACTGTCCTTTGCCCATTTCTCTATTTGGTTACCTTATTGTCACAATTGGCAAGGATCTTTTCTGTATTAGCAGTCTTAGCCATTTACCTGTCACAGAGAATAGTAAATCTTTCCCCTAAGTCTGCTACTTGGCTTTTGTTTGTTTATTGTAGCTATGTTCTTCTTAATTTAAAGTTGGAATAATAGTCTTTTGGATCTTTATTTCATGCTTTATCTCACCAAGAAAAAAGAAGACAATAAAGTCTTGGAGAAGAATAAAGCACCAATGTCCGGATGCAGTCTTTGGAAAATGAAATTACTGAGGTTTTTGGCACATCTTTGAAAACTCCACTTAATGGCCTACCTGCATTACTAAAGTGTCTCTTGTTGGGGTGATTGTAGTTGTCTCTTGGGTGTCCATGCATCTGTGGGCCATGGGAAGCAGGCAAATGAGGCTTCTGAGGGTGAAGGTGGTGTGAGGTGTGGGACTGAGATATCAGAGAATCCCGGCTTGAGCCCGAGGCCTCTGGTCGAAATGGTTTCTTACCACCAATCATGTCATCTTTCTTCTTTTGCTCCTGTAGATTAAAAGGAAACCAAAATAGCTCAAGACCCTTAATTCCTGAGAGCAGAATAAAGATGATCACCTCTGAATATTTTCCCCTTGTCCTTCTTGATTTTCAACCTATCATTTACTGCTTTCTTATCAAAAATGCTCATAAATTCAAGAGATCCCACAGTATTGACAATCTAATAGTGATCTATCTGTTGAGTCTGACCTTGTAGGTCAGTACAAGAGAAAGAATCTCCACTAAAAAGTGCCTGTGAGAACATATGCAGGAATCCCTAGATGCCACTATGTATGTTTTGAAACAAATAACCAGGCTGTCACAACACTCAGAAGAGCATCCTGAATGATGCAAAACCAAGATTACCAAATTTCTAGCGCTAACTAGAACAAACAACCCACAACTGTTCAGTTTAATCTAGTTCCTACACTAAAATCATCAAGCTAAACATCTGAATGTTGAAGTAACATCGTTCTTTTATCTCGTAAGTAACATGTTCAATATTAAAACATAAAAAATGAAAAAGAAACGTTATGAGCCCTAACATCTAACCAAAAAGGGTTAGTAATTTGGTCCACATTTTTCTGAACCTTTTGTGTGTTTTTATAGGTTATATATATATTAAAAAAAATCCTATTCTTTTTTAATTAAATGTTATGAAAATCTTTTTCAGTAAATGTTTACTTCTATAGTATTACGTTTAGTGGTTGAACAGTTCACCAATTATCTATAATCATGATCTATGTATTTTTATTGTTGGGACTTCCAAGTCATTTCCATTAACATGCTTAAATCCCTAATTATATTATCTCCTTAAGCTAAATCCTTTAGAAGCAGAATGGTGTGGTCTAGTTTTTTGATAAATCCTGCTGCTTATCCTCCAGAAAAGCTATGATAGTGTATACCTCCACTAGTAGGATATCACTTTTTTACTCAACATATACTAACTTCTAATAGTTAAATTAATGAAGCCCTTTACCACTGTAAATTATTTTAATTTTCACTCTAGCCTAAAGGCCTTTCCTAACTACTTTAATCCTTTTCATGGGACCTTTTACAAAGTCAGACTTTGTGTAAGATTTAGATTAACACTCAGCAATATTAGTACACGCAAATACATTAGTATACTACAGCTATATCATACTCTTCCATATAAAATTAAATACAAAGTAATTGAGGTTATTACTTTATAGGCCAATGGAGTGCTGGACAGAGTCTAAGTTCAACAAATATTTCTGAATACCTATGCTGTGCCAGCCACAATTTCATGCACTGAGAGAGATAACAGTGAATGAAAGAGAGAAAATAACTTCTGCTTTCACAGAGCTCACACATAAGTGGATGTATTTCAAATGTTCACAGACTGGAAGATTTGGATAGGAGGGTCCACATGGCAAATCAGTAGATTTGCAAACAGGCATATCTATACAAGAAGTACTAACACTGCAGCAAGAACCAAAATACTTTTGCACCTGTCCTGCTACTCTATACAAAGCGAGGCAACTTTTGGGGCACGTTCTCACATTCATGTCTTGAAAGTGACCAGTTGGGATGTGTCTACATATAAAAGCTGGAAGGACACAACTACATAGTCCAGAAAAGAAAAAGAAAGTTATTTTCTGCTCACAATCTTGCTACCTATTAGAAGACAGCTTTACAAGCCACCATAAGTCATGTGCATGTGGAAGAAGAAAAGGCCTAGTGAATAAATTATTCCAGGATATGAAAACACAGGGTAATGAATCCCTGTCACAATTTTAAAAGACGGTTTGGCTTCAGTGCATTGGCTATTTTACCCAATAAACAGCAGTGTTACTGTTTGACTACTAGAGGAATAAAGTGAGAAACTGACCGGCTAATACAGTCAAAGAGCATACTGTTTGAAAAAGAAGGGGCTATAGGCTACACACTTTGTGACCTGTGGTAGATTTCATCACCATCCTTGGACCTGTGCCTTCAAGTATAAAGCAAGGGCAAAAAAACTAACAATTTACAGATACCACGAACAACCCACAAGTCTATGACCACCCCCCAGGTAAAAACAATCATTAGGAATTTTTCTATGGAACTTATTTTTATTTGTTTGACTAAATTAGGATGAAATTTGCATTTTACCTCCTCCTCTTGAGATCTTTTCTTATGAGCCATCTTGTATAACTTGTGTAACTTTCGAGCATCAAATTCTGTAAACTTGGAAACAAAAATCCATAGATTCCTAAAAAACAATAGTCCTGGTAAATTACAGAATTAAATAAATAGAATTTAAACTCATTAGAATACTCTGCAAATGTAAAAAAGTTACAAAAATATTCTCTCAGTCTTTGTATCAATAATGTATCTTTATATGCTTCTACCAAAAGATTTTGACTGAGGGATCCTAGACCAAGGAGTCTATCAATAGTTTATAAACCCTGTAATTTATATCCATGCCATCTATGACTGCAGTCCTTTAAGTTTTCCTCCATCTTCCCCACTTTCTGAACTCTGTCAATCATGCATCTTCACTACCATCGCCCATGAGGACCTACATTCAGTTGGTTGTCTCTGTGTTGCTTTTCTTTTCTCCTAATCATCATCACTAAGGCCTATCATTTCTTCCTTAAAACTATCAGTGACTCCTTCCCTCCAATCCCATTACACTCACCTTAGCATGGCGTTACTACACATGCTACAGTAATATGATAAAATCTGTGTTTAGGAAGAGAGATACAGGTAATAACAGTGAATGGGGAAAAGACACAGGCTTTTAAGCTTTGTAATGGGCAAAACACTCATAAAGGTTCCTAATTAGTAAACTTCCTACATGGGGTAGAAAGCCATTCACCTTAATTTCTAAGGCCCCTTATAAAGAATATCAGTCTTACCAAGTTACCTATAAACTCTATAAAACATCTCCCAGTCACCTCACTGCCCTACTTTCAAGCTTTTCCTGAAGCCAAAGAATTCTGTTCATTTAAACAATTCCATTTGGCTTGCATATAAGCAGCTCAAATGTACTTAACTACCTGTCTCTCAGAAGACCTCCCTACTCAACTTCCCACCTTCTTTAGGCACTTCCTTCTCACAACTTCTATACTTTGGTTTTTATCTTTATGATAAAGACTCTTAGAAGTCTTACCTTGTACTACTTTGAACTCTTTAACAAAAATGACTTTCCTATGAACTACAGCTAGCAAAGATCACAGTGTCTGAGATATTTGACATAGCAGATCCAAGTGCACAGTATGAAGCCTAACTTCAGGGATCCATGCACTAGGAAAACTCTTGTTATTCTAGTTAGGTTTTAAAAAAAAAAGTTACTAACAGTGTTAAGGGCATAAGAAATAATAATTCAGATATCAAACATGCTGAGCATCCCTAATCTGAAAATCTCAAACTTTGAGTGCTGAGCTGATGTCACAAGTAGAAAATTCTACGTCGGACCTCATGTGATGGGTCATAGTCAAAACACAAGTGTACTAAAAATATTATATAAAATTACCTTCAGGCAATGTGCAAGGTATATATGAAACATAAATGAATTTTGTTTAGACTTGATTCCCATGCCCAAATCAAGTAATTATGTATGTAGGAATACTACAAAATCTGAAACCTCTCTGGCTCCAAACATCTCAGATGAGACACTTTAACCTGTTTGTAAAGCACAATATCAACCCAAGCTACTACTAGAGTTCTTTAATTATTAAAAAAAAAGGAGTTAAGAACAGAGAATTGACATTTCTTGTGGTTTTAACCTTTGTTTTGTCTCATGTGTTAGCACAGAACCAGCCAATTAGTTGTAGTAGATATAATATTATCTGAATGTCTGAGTATCAACCTGAGATGAGTTGAACACTTACACTAGATGGTCTTTCTATCCCTTATAGGTTTTTGTACTAGCGACTAAACTCAGGGGTGCTCTACCACTGAACCACATCCCCAACTCTATCTATCTATCTATCTATCTATCTATCTATCTATCTATCTATCTATCTATCTATCTATTTATTTATTTGAGGCAGAATCTCACTAAGCTGCTACAATCCTCCTGTCTCTGCCTCTCAGGTTGCTGGGATTACAGGCATGCTCCCACCACACTATATTTCCTTACAGGTTTAAAGAGAATCTTTATTATGAGACTAGGCTAGCAAATCTAATGTGATTGTTTTTTTTCTTATAAATTACATTAACATCTTGCCCCTTTCTAAAGGTTGGTCTTAGTGGAAAGGCCTATTTGATGAAAAAGAAGTTGTTGAAGTCTTAAGGTATGTTGCCAACAGATGAATTCTGTTAGGAAAACATTTTTCAGAGTTGGCATCCAACTCTATTAAAACAAAAACAGAACCCCCACACACTCATCAAATCAAACTGGGCAGATGCCAAGGCAAGGTTGGTTACCTCCTCCACAGTTTGATGTGCTCCTGGTCTGAGTAGGCTTTAAGGCACTCGGCTATCCGGTCTCCAATTTTAAGCAGGCAATTTCGGGTGTGTTCTAGCTGTTCTTGAACGTTGAGCCCCTTGTCAGGTTTGTCCAGCTGCTTCAGTGCCTTTTTCACTGGCCTCATCCTCTCCTTACACTGGAATAGGCCAGAAGAGTAGAGACATAAGCTATCTGCAAAAAGTCTTGCCCTTTGCTTACTGTGCCCTAACTTCCCACATCAGAGAAAACACAGCCCACCATCATATCCTATAATCACTAAAGAAGGAGTAAATAATGACGACAATAGAATGAAACAAGCATAAACATAGAGATGGAAACCCTGAGGTGCAAATGCCAGCACCATCACTTATGTGGTAACATTTTACACCTTGCTATTTTCTTATCTGCAAAAATGTCAGTATAATACTTCACAAGATCATTATGAAAATCAAACAAGAATATTAATTTCCTACCACAAACTATCCAAAAAAGCAGGATAAAATATATATAAATCCTTTAGGCTTAAAATCTAGTAATTAGATGGGCTTCCAGATAAAGATGATAAACTAAACACAAGAAATATTTTTTCTCCCTTCCTTATCTCACATAAAGATCTTTTTAAGTTGTCTTAATTTAAAAGAGATAAGCACATAAAGAAAGGGGAAATAAGAAGGAAAACAATAGCAACAAAATAATGGCAGTATGGAAAATGATGTAATAGGCCTGAGAAAGTAAAATCCTAAGCTAGCAATGCAGTCAGTATAGAAACAACATGCTCTGGACTGTAAAATTCCCCCCAAAGGCCAGTGTCTCTGGGGTAGTGATGAGGGATAAAATAAGGACTGGTTTAAAAAACTGCATATAAAATAACAAATACCCAGATCCATAATTAACATCACCCAGCTCTTACTGCCTACTCAGTATCAGACATAGAAGGATTATTTTCTAAAGAGAACAAAAGAAAGGCCTCTATGCTAGCAGCTATGCAGGCATACTTGAGGAGCGAGGGCACCACAGTGACAACTGGATTAAATGAACACATGTATACGACAAGAGCCACTAGCCAGTATTCTGATTTTGGACCCTTCAGTCAGATCAGGATTTTTTTTAACAAAATTTAACTACCCCCAGGAAGTACCAGAAGATGCTGACTCTGGTTCACTGGAGGCTTCCCAGTGGAAACAGCCCAGCTGGATTTCCCTACAGCAAAAGCTCTCAAAGTCCTACCCACAGATCCAGAGTTTCCAATCAGATGTTTAGTTCCCTACTCTTGCCAATACATTTGAAAAATGTTTCTACCATAAAGAATAAAAAACAAAGTATGAAAATATTCAGAGAACCATAAGAAGGGAAAATATCTTGGAAATGAAATATGAAAAGATAAATGAGAAGCTCAATAGAAAAAAAAGGAGAGATAAAGTTGAGAAAACATACCAGAAAGTAAAAACCAGAAATGAAAAATTTAAAAGGACAAAATTAGACTCTAATCTCCAGAGTCTGATATCCCCAAAATAAGGACCTCAATAAATCTAAAACTAAAAACATAGAGAAACCAAAGTTATCACAAAACAATTCAAGAAAATTTCTCAGAATTGTAGGACGCTGAGTATCTAGCACAATGAACTAGGCACTATTATAAAATAGTTTCATAATGAGGAAAATCCTACAAATTTCCATCACTTTTCAAGATGGTGGAATAGAGCAGGTTGCTTTCCAGGTCATAAAACCAAGAAGTAGATAGGAAGCTTCTACAGCAAGGTGGGTCAACAAAAGTGGGGCGGTGGGGTCGGGGGCCACTTTACTGGAGTTTAATAGTGGACCTTCAAAGCAGACTGGGAACTAAGAGAGCTGGATATAATAAAATAAGGAAGAAATCCCCAGTGCCACAGCTCATAAGATAGCCATAGGCATCACCAAGAGCAGTCCCCCCACAAGCAAATTGGAGGGATAAGGGAATTAAAGGAACCTGTATTTTTAGAAGACCTGTGGCATGTTTGGGTACATGCTGCACAATATCCTTGTGTGAGAAAGAAGCCAAATTTCTCTCAACTGTGTGAGATGGACAGAGGAAGAAACCATTCTGCAGCCACAGGGTGGTGGGGCCAGCTGCTGAGAGAGCAGATTCCTGGCAAACCCAAGTTTGTGCCGAAATACAGGCCTCACAAACCCATACAGCAAGACATAGGGTATGCCTAAGTGACCAGGAAAAAAAATCAAACTTGGAGACAGGTTTATGCAGGGGCCAACTGGTCATGGAAACCCACCCGGCATTTCCATTCCCCTCCAATCCAGCTGCTTGCAGGACCAGCTGGGAGAGCCCCACCTGGCCCAGAATTAGAAAGGGCAGAGATGGGAGAGATTGGATTTGGAGACTGAACCCAGGAAACATGGTATTCCTAGAGTCCACAGGTAACCTAGTGGACTAAGAATTGGCTTCACCACCATGTGAGTGGAACCCAGGGGAGATCCCTGGGGTGCATTCTTCCAGCATTGACTGTCAATTGCTGGGCCCAGGAGGTGCTCCAGACCAACTGGCATTGAGCAAAGAGCCTGGAAGCTGACTAAACCTAAACCCTACCTCTAGGAGTTCTACCCATAGGATTACCTCTCACTCTCGAGCAACGCCACCCTGAGGGTGGAGCAAGCATCATACTGTAGATGACCCCACTTACCACTACTGAGAAGGGAAGCTAAAAATCTTTTTAATTCTAAAGGAAACAATTCTTAACTTTTCATTGAGATTTTTTTCTTCTTATTTTCTTTCTCTATTATAAACTTAATGGTTCACAGACATTTATAGACATCCATATTTGTTTGTTTGATTTTTCTCATTTTTAGCATTTTTGAAGCCATTTATTTTCCATGGATCAGATTTTTTAGTACTAAGATGTTTGATTAGTATATTTCAGCTTTGTATTCATTTATTTTTAAATTTTTAAAATTTTTACATTTATCTGTTTCCCTTTTCTTTCTCTTTTCTTCTACTAATATCTAATCTGTTGTTCTTCCCTCTTCCTTGATTTTTTACTTCTGTCTTCTCTCCTCCTCATAATCATCACATCCTACACCATTTCTGTTCTCAACCCTATCCATCATCCAAAACTATAAACCCTTTTGCAAACTTAAGTGTTTTTATTGTAGGCAATAACTAATCATATCATTTCCATTTGTTGTGATAATTAACACTGTAAATGTCATAGCAGGAACTACTTGGTTTAATGCTGTATATTGTTTGCATTGGTGGTTGTTATTATTTGTCTCCCCCTAACCAGTCACATACTGGAAACCTTCAGAGACACTATAAATCTACATGGTAGAAACTCTACTGCCTGAGATTCATACTGTTAGATGGGGAGACAACACAAACAACATGGAAACGCAAGGGAACAAATCACCCCAAACCAACCAAGATACTTCAACAGATTCTATAGATACCACACTGAAAGAAATGTCAGAGAAGGGAGTGTAGGATGTTCACAGTAAACTTGATCTGTATGGTAAAGATTGATGTAAGGAGTGAAATCAGAGATAAATACAGGAAGTGAAAGATACTTCAATAAAGAGAGATTCTGAAAATAAAATCAAGCAGAAATCCTCAAAATGAACAAATCAATAAACCAAATTGAAAACGCTGGCAAGGTAGATTCATACATTGCTAGTGGGACTGCAATTTGGCACAACCACTATGGAAAGCAGTATGGAGATTCCTCAGAAAATTTGGAATGGAACTATCATTTTACCCAGTTATCCTACTCCTCTGCATATACCCAAAATCAACATACTATAGTGACACGGCCACATCAATGTTTATAGCAGCTCAATTCACAATAGCTAAACTATGGAAACAACCTAGGTGCCCTTCAAAGATTAATGGGTAAAGAAAATGTGGTATATATACACAATGGAATATTACTCATCATTAAAGAATGAAATCTTGGCAACTGCCAGTAAATGGATGAAACTGGAGAGTATTATGCTAAGTGAAATAAGCCAATACAGAATAACAAAAGGCCCAATGTTCTTTTTGATATGTGGATGCTAACACACAATAAGGGTGGGAGGAATAGAGTTCATTGGATTAGACAAAAAGGAATTAAGGGAAGAGAGGGGGGATGGGAGTAGGAAAGATAGAATGAATCAGACATAACTTTCCTGGTGTTCATATATGAATGAATTTACAACCAGTGTAACTTCACATTACATACAATCACGAGAACAGGAAGTTATACTCCATGAATGTATAATATGTCAAAATATATGCTACTGTCATGTACAAACTAAGAGAATAAGAAAAAGTTTTAAATAAAATAGTTTGGGGGCCTAAGGAGTGTGTCTCAATGGTAAAGCACTTGCCTACCATGTATAAGGCCCTGGATTTGATCCCGCAGCACCACAAAGAAAAAGAAAAGGTTAAAAAAAGGAAGAGAGGGGTAGACACCAAAAACTGGGAGACACTTGTAAATAACTGCAATATTCAAGACTATATAAAGGATTCTCACAGAATAAAATCAGACAAATTACCCACAAGAGGCAAAGGATATAAACAGGCAATTCACACAAATGTGAACGCCAAATAAATATAAAAATATAAATGTTAAAATACACCCCCAATCAACATTTCACAGCTCTCAGAATGGCAAAAATTATAATCAGAAATTGTCAACTATTTCTGAGAGCAGGGAAGCAATTCAATTGCAACTTAAATTCACCATAAGAAACCTCTACAATTGTTTTGAAGAATAATTCAATCATATTGAATAAAGTAGCAGACATATATGCCCGATGAGTGACCTAACATTTCTACTCCAGCCACACAGCCCAGAGAAGTTTCATATCTATGTACAAAAAAAAAATTGTAATAATTTCACTGCAGCCTTGTTTGTGATAGTTAACATCTGGAAAAACCCCAATGTTCATCAACAGCAGAAGAAATGAACTTTGGAAGTCATAAAATACAGTAACATGAAGCACTTAAATCAGAACCATAATGATCAACATGGTTAAATCTCAAAAGTATGAGACAGTAAAAGCAAATTACAGGATACACACAGTGCATCATAAGCTTTAAAACATGGAAAGCAATATTCTATTTTATTTACTGGTATACAGGAGACTGAATGGTACAGTTGTTAAGGACCCAAGCTCTCCTGCCAAACTGCCTGGGTCAAAACTCATTTTCCTGTCTTGGCTGCATAGCATAGGATATGTTACTCAACTCCATTCATCTAATTCTTTCTTTTTTTTTTTTTTTTTTAAGAGAGAGTGAGAGAGAGAGAATTTTTAATATTTATTTTTTTTTTAGTTCTCGGCAGACACAACATCTTCGTTGGTATGTGGTGCTGAGGATCGAACCCGGGCCGCACGCATGAGCCACATCCCCAGCCCAATCATCTAATTCTTTAATATGTAAAATGGAGATGGAACCTACCTTACAGACTTTTGTGGAAAATTTACAAATAAAGTACTCTAATAGTACCTGGCTGTTTATATGTTACAGTCTTTACAGACATTAAGTTGTAAATTCTAAAACCACACATAAGCCTAATTATCAAATTCAAGAACCATGCACACTTCTAGGAGGGAGGAAAGGAAAAGCATGGGTTTCGAGGGAGAAATACCAAGGGATTCCACTTTGAGTCTTAAAATGTATCTGACTACACTTCACTGAAGCTATAACAATGTCTACACTCCTGAAATTTTTCTGTATTTTTAAAATATTTCATAATATAAAACCAAGATTAAATGAGACTATGTATAAGAACATTTTAAATTTCATTTATTTCTCCTTTAGAGATATGATCTCGCTATGTTAACCAGGCTGACCTTGAACTCCTGGGCTAAAGCAAGACATCTACATTAGTCTGCCAGGTAGCTGGGACCATGGTTACATATTACTATGCCTGGCTTATAAAAACATTTTCTAAAATGGTACTATATAAGCATGATATTATTTTTATTATAAACAATGGACTAAAGAAAAACTAGAAAACAGATCAGAGAGCTGGGTATATAATGAATTCATTAATTTACTTATTTTTTATTGATATACTTCTAGCATCTAAGTGGATTTTAAATAATACATATGCTTGCCCCCAGAGAGCTCAGAGGCAGAAAAGAGAATTAAGAAAACTGAGATAACTACAAAAATTATATGCACATATGCAGGTAGGTTTTAGAGAATACAGAGAAGAGGTCAAAACACAGAGAAGACTACCTCACAGGATGGAGTCAACATTCCATTCTTTGCTGCCACAGAATTTGGAGCATTTCCAAATTTAGAAAAAGACTACCTTTCCTTTTAGCCTAAATAAGCTGTTAAGTGAACTGTGACTTGTGGAAGTTTGGACAGAGGAGACCACAGATGGGGAAGTGGTAACTGAGGATTTGCAGCATGATGAAATCTACGCATGCAACTCTACCAACGGTTGAAGGGCCCCTGAAGACACACTGATCTTATCCCAATCCTATGCCAGCCTGATCTGTGTACTCTCTGCTCATCACCTTTCTCACCTATTATGAGGAAATGGAGCCATATTTCCTAGGTAATGTGTTAGCTCTTAGCACCACAACATGGAAACAAGGAAAAGACAGCACATTTACCACTGCTCTAATATACTAAACAAGACCCTCCCTCCAGCATCAGCTTGACTTGCTCTTACGACTGTGGCTGCAGAGGCCTGTCACCCCCTCAGTGCATCCTATGGAATCCTGCTACATGACCTTTGAGCATGCCATTGCCTAGACTTGGCATGTCCTTCTTTCCCCTCCTCTCCAATTACCTATCACACTTCTTTCAGAACCTAATTCGAACATAACTTCCTTAAGCCTTCTGACTTCTCTTGACTAGTTAAGTCTCCTTCTCACAGAATCTTCACATTAACTAATCTCTCTCATTCCCGGCCCCATTTCAGTAAAGGAAATCATTTATGTACTTATCTATTGCCCTGTAGTTATAACTACATCATTCATGTAGTTATCTATTGCCCTGACTCAAATACAAAGTCTACAAGAATAGAAACAATTACCTGTTCAATATGGTAACCTATAGTTGGTACAGGAGAACATTCAATAAATGATAGTTTAATGAACATTTCTGTTTCCCAGATGCCTGAGGGTCCTCAAAGACTTTCCAACTGGGAGCACAAGACATGAAATCTTAGACTTATTCCTCAGTAGAGAACAAGTTAAAAAAAAAAACAAAAAAAAACTAATCTCTTCATGCCAAACTGGTTCAGAACACACAGTCTTCCGACATCAAAAGCAGTGTGTTTCCAAAATAACACACCAATGTTTATATCAACTGAAGTTCTGTGGCTGCGCCTATAAAGGGCAGAGCCACAGCAAGCACTGTGGTCCCACACCAGCATCCCTCAATTTCAGCACTTACAATACTGAAGGTCTCCTGGTCCAGATCATCATCCTCATCCTCTCCAATGGGGACAGGTTCACTTCCTGCTGTAATATGGACAGGACCCTGAGATCGCTTTGATTTACTTGAAGATTTGGCTTCACCACCTTTAGGCTTTAAAAAAAAAAAAAAAGAGTTACAAGGAATCATTGTCATTTGTACAATCCTGCCTTGCAATGTGGACTTATCTGTAGTGGGTGACTGCAACAGAGTCACTTTATACCAACTTATAAGATTAATAGCTCACCATACATTATTTCCATGCTTGACTCTAAAAGCACTTAATTATAACTTCAATTTCATCAATGCTATATTTGGTGCTCTATTCCCTCATCCAGAAAATGCACAAAAACGTCATCAAGAGATTAAGACTATAAACTGATAGAACTCTTCCTGAGTATCATATAGTAATTTTTATTAACAGCTTACCCTTTGATGTAAGAATGTGTATTCTGAAATCTACATGAATCAACATGGATAAATCTCAAAATTACATACAATAAAATATTACAGAAGGACATATATATATTATATACCCCCACTTTAGAATAAAGGTTATAAGGAAAATAAGAAAGGAAAAGTAATACAATCAGGAGAAGCTATAAGGACAGCAGCTTCAGTAGTAACTAATAAGTAGTAACTAATAAGTTCAGTAAGTGAACTAATGAATACAAAACATTAACCAAAAACAAAGCCACTTCAAATAAACATGAAAAAATTGTCAACAATAGTTATGAGAGCAGTAGACAATAGATGTTTGCTAAACTATTCTTGTATTTTTATTTAATATATATATATTTTAGTTGTAGTTGGACATAATACCTTTATTTTATTTATTTTTATATGGTGCTGAGGATCAAACCCAGGCCCTTGCACATGCTAGGCTAACGCTCTACTGCTTAGCCACAATCCCAGCCCCCTGTTCTTGTATTTCTATTGTTGAAATATTTCATTTAAAAAAAAAAAAAAAAGAATGACTTAGCCAGGCACCTGCTTTGCAATTTAGCAAGACCCTTAGGAACTTAGCGATACACTGTCTCAAAAAGGACTGGGGATGTAGCTCATCCTGGAAATACACCTGGAATAAATCTCCAAAATAAATAAATTAGAATGTCTTTCTGTGGACAAATGCAGACATATTTGTCAGAGTATGATTTATACTGTTTAATAGAAAGCAGCCAGGCATGGAGAAGAATGCCTGTAATCCCAGATACTTAGAAGGCTGAGATTGGAGGATCACAAATTCAAGGCCAGCCTGGACAAATTATAAAATAAAAAGGGCTGGGGTCGTAGCTCAATGGTAAAGGTCCCCAGTTCAAGGGGGAAAAAAAAGGGGGGGGGGAAGCAATTTCAACATGGGAGATTTGAATTGCTTCCAATAAGTTATAGCTAAACAAAATTCTCTCTACCTATTAAACATTCTTTTTAACACTTGTTTTTTTCAATGAAAAGCTATTTACTGCTAAGCAGAAAGAAAAGGTTACTCAAATGGTCTGAACTAATTTTTATTTTATTTTTGTACTTATGTGCATAAGAGAAAAGTTTCAAAGGTACCACTGGGTGGTAGAATAGAGGTGTTAATTTTGTGTTTTGGCAATGATAAGTGAGTAATTACAATTGTTCTTTAAGAAGTCAGCAAGCATACAACCAATACTGTACTAATCCTGTGGTTTGGAATGAACTTCAAAAAGGTCCCAACATAAAGATTCTATAGCAAGGCTTTATATCCATGTCTACTGCAAAAATTCTTGCTATTTGTTCCGAATCCTAAACTCTCCAAATTTCCAAATCCATTTGTGGATTGTGCTCTTCTAATATGAATCTAAGAACATGTTTCAAACAGTTACCTGTTCATGCAAATTCTCTCACTTGTCCTATCTCATCTCAAACAACCCCCTCCCCCAAAACATGTATAAAAGATCAAGTAAAGGCCTTGTATATTAAAGAATATCCTGAACTTGTGCATGTACACATGCACACACATACACGCACAAACACTCCTCTGCAAGGATTGGTGCAAGCATACCTCTGACAGCCCCATCTTTTTTCTTGAATATACTCATAAAAAGAGAGTCCAGTGCCCTCAAACTCCATTCCATTTCTAGATCTAAAAAGAAATTTCAAAGGCTCTGGGTATCTCAATAAGCAGAATGGCATCATTACCTTCTCTTTCTTATCTTTTGACTTCTTCCTTTCTTTGTCCCCTTCTTTGTCTTTCCTACAACTCATTTGCTTCTCCTTGTTCTCTTTGTTCTCTTTCTTCTTCTGTTTTTTCTTCATTGGACTTTTTTCTAAGCCATCATCCTAGGAAACAAATAGGGCTATGAACTTTTGCCTTCAACTTTATATCTACTTGTTTACTTCCTCGAGAAAGCAGCACTGCTCTCAGTAATTCATCACTGTGCTTAAACCTAAAAGCTTGTTTTCAATCACAGAGCTTTAAAGCACTCTTTTGCACAATTCTCAATTCTCTAGTAATGACCAGTGTAGGCAGATCCTCTTTATTTAAATCATCTCATGTAATTCTCATAACAATTCTTTGAGATAGGTATTATCAGCTGCAGGTGTAGCTAAGTGGTCAAGCATTTTCCTAGCACACATGAGGTGCTGAGTTCGAATCCCAGCAGTGTTTTGGAGTCATTATCATTCCCATTCCATAGACAGAAAAAAACTGAGAATTAAAGAAAGTAAAGAGATTGTATACCTGTCTAGTCAGCTAGTAAATGATAAAGTTCTAATATCTGAATTCACATATGCAGACTCAAATACATGCTAGTTCCTATAATCTCAAAGTATTACACTCTAAGAGCAACCAAATAAAATCTGATAAAGTTGTCACTCATGAAAATAATACTGAATAATACTAATTTACTAACTGGCAGACTTTGGGCCAAACCAGACTCACAAGGTTTTGTTTGCACATACAATTGACTTTATAGTACATGCCCCTTTATATAAGCCTGGGCTTTCTTTCAATATTAGTATTGGAATATTGCCTAATTACCCAAATGAGGCTAAGTACCAATTGCCATTTATTTATTATTAAAATATTCATGATTCCACACATTAGTTCTATCAGTTATGAATTTGCAACTACATTCTTCTCCAACAGATTAAGCAAAATATATATACATAAATCTACATGTAAACGATTTTATACCAGTTGGCACAATATAGACCTAAAAGAATAATAATATTCCTCAAATAAAATCTACCCTTATACCTTTACTTCTCCTTCCTCTGATGGATTATCTGAGTGTCTAGGAGATGAAAACTCAAGTCCATGCTCATCTTTCAACCTCGGTGCTTTGTTTTCCTTTTTTACTCGAGGCTTCCGCTTTTTTAATTTGGCCTGGGGGAAAAAAAAAAGAAAAGAATGATAAAATTACAAATCAAGTCCTTCAAATGCATGAAAATAACATTTGATCCTTTGAAGCAGTAGTAGCTACATAATTTAAACAAGAAAATGCAAAGTAGTCAAGAGTCCAACTAATTTTACCTCGAAACAAAACAAAATATAAAACCCTGTAGGGAGTATACATATCCCATACTATATAAAGACATCCATATTCCTTGAAACTATTGATTCAGCTTTTTTGGAATTTGTCCTAAAGATAGAATTTTTGCCAAAAAGGGCAGGCAGTACCTTATATACAAAAATAGAAATAAAAATAACATATTAGGGTCAGGGATGGGGTTCAGTGCTACGACACTTGTCTAACATGCATAAGGCCCTGGGTTCAAACTCCAGTACCACTAATAATAATAATGATAATAATAAAAATAAAAATATTAAAGATAACAATATTAATAAAAATGCTGGAAACAAAGTACTTTATTAGCAGGGTGCAATGGTGCAAAATCGTAATCCCTGTGACCAAGGAGGCTGAGGCAAGAGGATCACAAATTCAAAGCCAGCCTCATCAACTTAGTAAGGCCTAAGTAACTTAACAAGACCCTGTCTCAAAAAATAAAAAGAGTTGAGAAGATGTAGATCAGAGGTTAAATACCCATGGATTCAATCCCCAATCCCAAAATAATAACAACCAAAAAAAAAATACACAAAAGTATTTTATCTAAAATTAAGAAAAAGGTTAAAATATTTATCCACTCAAATATGATACAGAAATCTAAAACACCTCTATCTAAAATCTAAAACATAATAATATTACACATTCACTATATTACATAGTATCTGCAGAATGATATGCTATATTATTATACTATTGCCTGAAAAGGGTAATTTTGGGGGGGTGAGGTGGTGCTAGGGATTGAACTCAGGGGCACTCAACCACTGAGCCACAACCCCAGTCCTGTTTTGTTTTTTAATTAGAGACAAGGTCTCACTGAGTTGCTTAGTGCCTCGCTTTTGCTTAGGCTAGCTTTGAACTACTCACAATCCTCCTGCCTCACCTCTCAAGCTGCTGGGATTACAGGCATGCACCACCATGCCCAGCAAGAACAAGGTATAATTTTTTTCTACAAGTTGTTTTATTTATAATACAAGGAAACTAACACAAGTAGCATATCTATAAAAGAGCACTTAAGAAACATGCACACACACAGACTGTAGTAGAGGATGTAACTTATATTATCTCATAACTGTGATTCCCCATCTTTCTAGGCCTGAACTAAAATGGTAAACTGGGAAAATAAAGGAAGATAAAGTTCAGATAAATTCAGCAGCTCAATTGGTATTTTTCAATTAGCTAGTAAGATACTCATAACTGAAGTTCAGTTTTTTATATAACTGTGGGATTCCAACTGTCCATTTTACTCCTGGGATCCATTATTACAAGTAGCCCAATTAGATACAATAGACAATCCTTATGTTCCTAAACTGAGGAAGCAGAAAAAGGGAATAGTTAACAGTACATCTGAACTAGTGGCACTGAGGACTAATGATTCAGTATTTGAAGAGAATGGGTTTGTAAGAAAATTGCCAAGATGTTACAGTCAATTATTAAATGCATATTTCTATTATTACTAACCAAACCATAATCATGGAACCTCAAAAGCAGTATTTGATCATGGAAAGGTAATGTTCTGTGCAGGGCCCGGAAAGGATATTTTTTTTCCTACCTAAATCTGTGGGGTTGGAGCCTTGGAACCCTGAAAAACACCCAGCTGACAATGCACTCACTCACCTCTTCCCCGCCTGTCACAGCTCCCTTCTTCTCCAGACCCTTCCTGAGCAGCTTCAGCAAGTAATCCGCTCTAGTCTGTAGCTGCTTCCCCTGAGGCTTTTTATCTGTCTCCACAGGCAGAATCTTCAACAGGAAAGGAAGAGAAGCACCCGCCACCACCCATAACCGGTTAGTAAATGAGGATAAACAGGTAACAAAGAACTCAGCACAGTTCTTTCCCTCCCCAACCACCCAAAACATAGATAAAGCCTCAGATCCTATCTCATGTCCATGGCTCCCAGTCACTGAAAATCCCTTATGAGCCGTTCTCATTTTACAAAATGGGATGGAGAAATCCAGCTCTCCCACTGGCTCCTACCTGTGCTGTTAACAGGGTAGAACAACTCAGGTAGGAGGGGCTTGTGGCTTCATCTGCTAGAGCATCCCAGCCGTCGTGGATTTCCTCCTTCCAGGAGCAGGGAATCCCTGGAGCTAGGTTAAAGCTTTGTTTTAGATTGAAAATGCTTCTTAGAGCATTGCCGGAGAGCATTGAGCTATGCCAGGACATGATCTGCTCCCTGCTACCACAGTTGGACCTCTCAGGCCAGACTGGATTTGGTCTCAGTGCTTATGACAGGGTGCTGTCACCCTCCTAAAACCCAGATGGGATGAGCATTGTTTGATGTGCCAGGAAAAGCCCTGCTAGGAGCATCACCTGGAGCAAATCCTACAAAAATTTAAGCCAGTTTTCCTTTAACTATGGCCTTTTTACTTGCAACAGACAGGGTGGGAGGCTCAATTTTGTGGGAGAAATATTGTCAAAATTTAATTCCACTACAAGAAATACCAAGGCGACACTCATTCTTTGTGCAAAGAAATATGGTTGTTTCAAACAAATTCTGAAAGAAAGGGCCAACAACGAGGGCCAAGAAGTGCTTTTATTATTAATAAACTTACCCTGGTATTTGTTGTAATGAGATCTGACCTCTAGTAAATATCAATATTTTAAGATTTCTCCTAAATTTTCATTTGGCTATTTTTTGTCTTTCCCTTTATCATTATCTGTGAGACAGAGCCACAGTCCATTAAAGATGGCAACATTTCCAAGGATAAAGAAATCCCAGGAAATTACTATTCTGTTAGTATTCAATTTGATCACCCCTTCTTGAAAATAGATAAAAATAAGTAATCAATAGAAAAAAGTATACAATAAATGTAGCAATCTCTAGCATCACAGAGTTACTTACTTTATCTGTCAGTTTCAACTCTGGGTCCGTCTTAATTAACTCCCAGTTTCCATAGCCATGTTCATAAATTCCTAGCAGCAAGCGAGAGTCATCTTCCACTCCCCACTCTACATCAAAGTGTGCAGCTTTCACCCGACAGGTTAAGCAGTATCTAAACGGGTTTAAAAATAGGAGGACATTACAAAAGAGAATTTTCTGAAATAAGAAGAGAGAATGAACAAACTACATAACTACATGTAACTAATATCAAACCTATGTTCAACCACCCCACATGTATCACAAAATATACTCACTTTTTTTTTTCTTCAGGGTCCACAGGGATGGATTTATGCAGCATCTCAAACTCTTCTTCATGTTGGATAATAGATTTCACATTAACCTGAACTCCAGATATCTTGATTGTTGGACCTCTCCTTTTCCCTGGCCCTTTCCCTAATAAACACAAATTTTACAATTCTTAAATGAGAACTATTAAAGTTTCATACACAACATTATCACCATTTATCACTAAGACTCCTGAACTCTTAGTCCCTTCTCTATAATCCCTGGTTTATCATTAATTCAAAGATACAACTATAAAACAAACTTTTTTTCAATTAATATTTATATTCAATTAATATTTACAAAACAGAATTGTGCAAAAACACGATTTCTTTAATATACTGATGCTTGCAATAGTAATTTAACTCTCCTATTTTTATATGACTTTATTCAAAAACTAACATAAGAAGACTCTGAAGGTATCATATTATGAAGTTTCTTCCTTGTTTTCCTACCAATTCAATTAGCAGATTTTTTACAAATTCAAATGTTTTAAAGATGATTCATACTTGACCTTCATAATATTGAAACTGAAAAAGTATAGGATCACAGTAACATCTAAACCATTTGAAATGATAAAGATGAAAAGGTTGCCCTAATCTATATGATTATAATGATCCACGTCAGGTGCAGCAGTGCCATCTACAATTCCAGCCTCATGGGAAGCTGAGGCAGGAGGACATTAACTTGGAGATCGGCCTCAACAACTTATGGAGACCTGTCACAAAATGAAAAAATTTTAAAGGGGCTAGGGATATAGCTTAGTGGTAAAGAGTCCCTGAGTGAAAGGAAGGAAGAAACGGATGAACAAAAGAATGAAGAAACGAAGGAATGAATTTCAATGATCCAAGAAGTAAAAATAAAACCCAGTTACTCTAACCAAAGAGACCAAGTTGAAATTTGCAAGATAATGCCACTTGTTAAGTGAGAATAAAGACGGTTCTCATAGAAAGTGAGCTAAATATATGAAGAACCAGTTTATGAACAACAAAATGTTAGTACTCTTGGAGGAGATGTACAGCCTTGCTCACTACAAAAAAAAAAAATGAAATGCATCTCATTTATGAGCAAAATATCCAAGCAATTAAAATATATTCTGTTTGTAAGTCTTGTTTATAGGTACTAACAAATATTTCTGTTGGTAATGTAAAAGGCACTAGATTTATAAAGGAGGATTTGCAATCTCAAAGCAAAGCATCCTCCAGGCATCAGCAGGACCCACTTCTAGAAATCTATCCCAAAGACGTGCTGGCTAAGATACATATATTTTTTAAAAAATTTTCATTAGACCATATTTATTCTTTGTGAATTTATTTGTAACAGCAAAAGAGGAAAAGAAACCCATCAATAGGGAACAAAAAAGATAAGTTGACACACATCTACATGGAAGAATTCTGGGAAAATGTAAAAGAAAGGAAGATGAACTCTACATAACATGGAGTGCTTTCAGATATGAAGCTAAATTAAGTGTACAGCAGAGCATGTATTATGTTCTCATCTGTAGAAGGGGAACTAAACTACACAGAAGCTTAGATTTAAAAAAAAAAAAAACAGAATCACAAACTCAAAACCTTAGATTAGGTAGAGGGAAGTGATGGGAGGGAAGCAGAGGGAATGTGGGAAAGACAGTGGAATAAAACAGACATTATTACTGTATGTATATATGTGACTATATGACCAAAATGATTCTGAATCAAATACACTCAGAAAAATGAGAAATTTATATCCCATCTATTATGATATATCAAAGTGCATAATTGCATTCTACTCTCACGTACAACTAATTAAAACAAATTTTAAAATTATTAGGGTAACCAAAGAATTAGAGGAGAACAGGAATGGAAAATAGGGATGAAAGTAAGACTCTCCAAATATACCTTATTTTACTCTCTTGACTTTGAACCATGTAAGTTTTTTAGCAATTAAAAAAAAAAGTTAAATCAGAATAATGCTTCCTAAAAATTAAAAATAAATATAAACAAGAGTCTATAAGTTGATGGTATAATCATATACAGAAAAGAACAATTTCAAATAGTTTTTAAATACTGTACATTGTTAGTGGGAATATACTAAGAACATAAAACATACCAAAAAAAAAAAAATCAAACTTTGTGTGAGAGTCTTATTATAACAGGAAGATTGGCATTGACATTTGGAAATGTATGTATATAATTGCAGGATAAATAAAATACCTAATTATGTTAATATTTTTAGAAACAATATCAATAATCTTACATTGAAAATGGAAATGTCAACCTGGACTAAAAATATGTTAAATACAAGTGTATAGGAAATACAGGTTTAGGGGAATCAAATTATACAATGCCAAGAAGAAGCAATTAATCAGATCCAGAATGTAAACGTGCAGAAAAAGAGAGATGTGCAAGAATAAAATTAAAGCATTTGCCAATAAATATACTGAATGCAGAGCATCAGGCTAAGTGAAATAAGCTAGATTCAGAAAATCAAGGATCTATTTTCTCTCAAGTGCAGAAGCTAGAGAAAACTGAAGGAAAAAGGGGGGCTGTGGATAGGACACCATAAGGATAGAGGAAACATCAGTGGAATACAAGAAGAAAACTGAGGGAGAGGCAGGAGAAAAGGAAAGGAAACAGGCGCTGGATTTAATAAAATTATACTATGTGCATATATAAATACACCACAGTATATTATCTATAAAGCACCAACTAAAAATAAATATATAAATAAATAGAAAGAACAACAGTATAGTACAGGTAGGGAAATGGAGGGAGGAGGGGAAGAAAAGAAGAGACTCTGGGGACAAAAGTGGAGCAAATTCCATACATGCATGATTTATGTCAAAATAAGCCCAACTTGCTGAGCATGGAGGCGCTTGCCTGTCAGCCTAGTAACTCAGAGACTGAGGCAGAAGGATCACAAGTTCGAAGCCAGCCTCAGCCACTTAGTAAGACCCTGTTTCAAAATAAAAAATAAAAAAGTCTGGAAATGTGGCTCAGAGGTTAAACGCTCCTGGGTTCATTACCTCCCCTCCCCCACACAAAAAAAACTATTATTTATAACTATAATGTACTGATGAAAGAAAAAATTTAAAAAAGGGATGTGGAGAGGAAGGAACTATTAGACGGAAATATCTCCAAAATATACTGAGATGAGCTGAGCACAATGATGCACGCCTATAGTTCCAGTGGCTCAGAAGGCTAGGATTTGCAATATCAAAGCAAAGCATGTATATATCCCCCTCAGCAACTTTAGCAAGGTCCTGAGCAACTTGACAAGACGCCATCTCAAAATATGTGCCTCAGTGGTTAAGTGCCCTTGGGTTCAATCCCTGGTATCAAAAAAAAAAAAAAACAACAACACTGAGATGGAAAAATTAATGAATAGAGCAGTATGCATACCACACTACCTTTAATTTGTGTTTAAGAGGGAAAACACACAATCTATATAAAACACACACACTCACATTTTTCTAAATTTCTTAAAAAGAGACAAACACTGGGGGCTATGTGATTTTCATTTTTGAGCCATGTTTATTAATTTGAAATAATTACAAAGAAAAAAACATGATAAACCTAAAGTTACTTTTGGATGTATTTTAGATGCTGTAAAAACACATATTCAAAATCTCAGGCTTTTATTTGTTTTTTTGAAAACAAATTTATTTGAAACAATGGCCACAGGAATGTTAAGCAAAAGCTATCCCTCTGAGCTACACCCCCATCCCTAAAAGTACATATTCAGATTATTATCCAAATCACTCAAGCTATTTTCTTTTACCAAAAAATATTTTTAATATATATCGAAATTATTTTTAATTTCTTTTCATTAAAGTACAGCAAAGTTTATTAAAAGGGAAAGGAGGAGGAAAGCACCCTCAAGGAAGACAGTGGATCCTTCTCAGAGAGGAGAGCAATCAAATTCTACTAATTTCAAAAAGAAGCCCTAAAAAAAGACAATTCCAAAATATAAATAATTAATAGACAACACTGAAAGCCAGACACTACATTAACAAGCAGTTAATAGTCCAGTAAGAACTATTCAATTAATTACCCAAACCTTCTGATTACTATTATTCCATTTTGCAAATGAAAGAGTTGAGGTAATTTAACTCAGAGAAGTCTTAACCAAACTTTTAGGTAACTGGTTGCCTCTGGCATCTGAACCACAGCTCAACAAAACCTCCAAAGAATAGGTAGCTTAACAATACCTTCATTTCTATGAGGTGTCCTTAAACAATGACTACTTTAGAACTCTCGTAAACATGCCTGTACCTCTAAAAAATAAAAAAACATTCTGATATCTAAGAGAAAATGTACTTCCTAGATGTTTGATCCAATTTTAAAATTCTACTTGTATAAACATTTCAATGTAACAAATGTTTACAACTGTCATTCAATATTTTATCTATTCCAATTAATTTTCTAATAAGTTCTTTACATTTGCAGCAACCTAAGAATACATATATGTATATCCAAAAAAATTATGCAACCAAAATACAGAGGCATCCATTCAGCTTTGTCCCTCAGGTCTTTGTATCATTCAAACCAATTTAAACTTTCTATAGAACATAACAGAAATAATTTCATCTTGTTAATTATTCTACACCTTTACAAACCAACTTCATTTGTGTGTAGATCTATAGGATCTTAGAACACTGAGCTCAGGAAAAGGCAGTTCAGAATGCACACCATAAAGCAGGAGGCAAGCCCTTCAGCAACAGAAATAGACCAGACCTTTAGCACCAGAGTGCTACAGATGATCTGTTAACTTACCCTCACTGGCATTTTCTTTCAGCTGTTCTTCATATTCCTGCATAGCTGACACACAGCTATTGTGAATCAGTTCACCCAGGCGTTTCAAGTCTGCCACAGACTTATCCACAAGCTCAGCATCTCGTGCTATGCACTCCAATCTAAGGAAGGACAAACATGGACACTTTTCTCAACATCACAAGATAATACTACGTCTCATATAAGTTTGCTCCTACAAAGACACTTTTCTCTGCCTTCATTCATGGGTCATTAACAATAACAACTGCTTCACATTAACTAAGAGCTAACTCACTCATTTTCTATCTTAAAGAATTGTGCTTTGGGATGTCACAAAACCAAAGTAATCTCAAAAATTTTAAATGAGAGGTTTCAAAACTTAGTTTATTAAACAAATGGGCTATCTGCTACTGTCAGTATGTGACATGCTTAAAGACTATTGCATCTTTCTATTCACTTTCCTTTCTCTACTCCACCTTCACTCACTGCAATGTTCGTAGAAGTTCATATTCAGATCATCTCTAAGTTGTAGGGAGCACATAAACACAATGGCTAAAAATCATGATGTCAAAAGGAACCAAACCAACTTCATCCACATGTTGGTAGTTGTTAAGGTAACTGGTTCAAAGATAAATATGAAGGTCAGCCAAGTCCAGGAAAGATGTGCCTGACTTTTGCAATTTTGCTGTGACTCACTACTATACATCACTGCTTCCTCTCCAAATGGAAAGCATAAAACCAAAAATACAAGCTTGGAATTTTCACCAGAACAGTATCAAAAATAAGAGAGGGGAAACTGGCATATGCTTTAAATTGGTGCTATTATTTACAGGATATATTGTTGATTTTTAGAAAACAAAATACTTAACTACTTGAAATAAGTCTTATGTTAAAATCCAACTTCTGAAATCATATTTTGAATGCTTGTAGTACCAATAGCTAACCATTTTGTAAGTCACTACAGGCAAGATGATATAAGTTGTATTTTTAATCTTCACAATACCTTGTAAAAATGTACAAGATTACTAAGTCAAAAAGACATTACTAAATCTAAGAATTAGAACATAAATAACCCAGTCTCTTCAGCTATAGTTACCTAAACATCTCTTTGGGAAACGCATCGTTTTGAATTTACTTGATTTACCTCCCCCTAAGGTATAAATCTCTGAATGGTCTGTCTGTATCATCTTCATACCCTTCCAGAAAGGGACATGCACCTGATACATTGATATTGTTTCCAGGGGGAAAAAAAAAGTTCCCAGAATTAATATTAAAAGAAAAATATTACCAAAGAAAGAGAGAGAGAGAGAGAGAGAGAGAGAGAGAGAGAGAGAGAGAGAGAGAACCTGCTATACAATAAAGCTGAAAAAGAGGATAAAGAATTATCACTGAGCTTACCGTTCAAGAGGGAGACCAAACTTCTTATAAGCCTTGATGAACCTAAGAATATGATCAATAAAACAAATTAAAACCCAGAAACCAGTTATAACACATCCTGTAATGAACTATGAGCCATTCAAATTGTCAAAAATAGACTGGCAACACCCAATCTTTGCAACAATCACTAAATAAATAAACATTGAGCATCTCTGAAAAGAGATAACTTAAAATAATAGACATTAAAGATTTAACTTTATTTTCAGTGACTGATCAAGAAATTTCTTGGAGCTGTAACAGAGAATTGTGAGTTTAGAAGATGCGAGTTTATGAAGTTCACTATGTAATAAATGATTCAATCACCACAAGTCTATTGTGATAAAAACCCAGTATCATTCATTGGCCTACTTAAGTCTACATAATATAATATTTTTAATTATTTTATGTTCAATGATACAGCCATAAGATTTATAAGACTTTCTCCAATATTTTTTAAAATTAGGCAGAATAAAATAATTGACTTGAAACTTCTTAGGCCAAACTATTTTGAAATTCTAGTCACTCCTGCCCAACCTTGTCTCCAACCGTAAATCCAATCTCCTTCCATAGTCAGTACCTTAAACTATGCTATATACAGCCTGTGCTAACACCTTCTCCCCATCTGCAATGCTTACCACATAGCACTTTCACTAAAAAGCAAGATGTCACAATAATGTCAAGGACATCATTGTAATATGCCAAATTACTATGACAATATGGTATGTAATAGTGTAAGGAGAGTGCTAAAAAAATGGAAACAGAGGATATGGCAACCAAAGAAAACAGGAGGGAATATAACAGCTATGAAATACTAAAGGAAGAACAAGGACTAGGAAAGTGTTAAATATGAAAGCAAACCTGAAGATTATTCCTCAACTCTACATTTTTCCTTCCTGAAATATATTGAAATGTTTCATTTCTAAAATAATGGTTTGAGATTTACCGGAAAATTATATAGGAGCTAGGTATGCATTAGCTCAGTGATAATGTCCTTACCTAGGATGCTCAAGGCCCCGAGTTTAATCCCTGGCAACAACAACAACAAAAAAAAATAATGATGATGAAAAAGATGATGATGTTGTTGATAAATAATAATATCAGGGGAAAAAAGGTTCCCAGTATTAGTATTAAAAAGAAAATATTACCAAAGAAAAGAACCAATACCAAGGGGGAGAAGCACTTCCAACATAATAGAGTAAGGAACTCAAAAAATCTGCTCCTCCATAAAAATAATAAGAACACAAGCAAAAACTAACAAAACTCATTTACCAGAACTGTCAATTAAGAAAATGTTCACTGTCAACTAACAGGCATCTGTTTAAGAAAATGGTTCCATCTGTTAAGAACATCAAGTTGCAAGGTGCAGTGGCACACACCTGTGATCCCAGTGCTTTGGGAGACTGAGGCAGGAGAACTGTGATTTCAAAGCCAGCCTCAGCAACTTAGTGAGGCCCTAAGCAACTCAGCAAGACCCTATCTCTAAATAAACTATTAAAATGGTCTGAGGGGGCTGGAGTTGTGGCTCAATGCTAGAGCACTGGCCTAGCATGTGTGAGGCACTGGATTAGATTCTCAGCATTGCATATAAATAAATGAATAAAATAAGGGTCCATCAACATCTAAAAAAATAGACTTAAAAAAAAGGGGAGTCTGGGGATGTGGGTCAGTGGTTAAGCACCCCTGGGTTAAATCCCAAATTCCAAAAGAAAGAACAGCAAGCTTCCTATCAACTTGCTTTATTCCCATCTCCTTCTACTTGTTCCAGCAGAGCCTTAAAAACCAACATTTTTGCAACTACAATGATTATGCTAACCTGTGACAGAGCAGCCACTGGAGGAGGAAGAACAGGTTTGGAATGTCATAAGAGCCCTATCCCTTGCAAACAGAGCTTCTTGACCTGACTCAGCACCTTGAAAAGCTTCATTCAAAGAAAGAAGTCAAAGATGACTTAGGACTTTCTGCACAGCCCTGTTCACAGTTCATTGGTCAAAAACAACTAGATGCAGATGTTCAACATCACACTGATCAGGGCAACATAATCAGTTGGAATAAAAAGAAATTGATAAAAAACTGGAAAATTGCCCACACAGCACCCCGAAAAGCTACGATATTCTCAAGAGTCAAGAAGACCACACATTTGTACATCTGTATGCATGTCAGGAAAGATCTTAGAAGGTCCTATCCTCTCAATTCTAGCTGACCTTGATGATCTGCACATGTAGGAATTGAAAATTAAGGCAGAGTTGTAAACTGCCTCCGATCGCACTGAAACGTGCCCTAAGATACACACTAAGTCCCTCAACAAAGGTAGGCAGATCTTAAAGAAAAGCTCTGCCCAACCATTAATTAACTTCTCAGCCAAAAGAACAGACTTCAAAAAACATGACCAAAGAATACAGACTTCACAGAACTAGCCTAGGAAAGTCAGTGAACACGCAAACAATAGCAAACACAGTGAACTCTGGATAGTGAGGCAAATCTGATTCCGAATTTAATACATTACATTTAAAAATTACAGAACACACCAAAATGCGGGGAGTGGGAAGGGGTTAAAAGTACTATACCTGAAGAAGCCCAGAACTTACACTCATAAAACAAAGATGTTAATCTGCTATGACAAATATGTACTAGAAGAAAAGCAATCCACACCTAAAGAATTAAAAAGAAAGCTAGGTGCAAGTGCACACCTATAATGTCAGAGACCCATGAGACCGAGTTAGGAGGATCACAAGTTTATAGTCAGCCTCAGCAACTCAGCAAGATCCTATCCCAAAATAAAAAAGACTTGAGGATGTAGTTTAGTGGTAAAATGCCCTTGGGTTCAATTCCCATTCTCTCTCCCACACACCAAAAAAAAAAAAAAAAAAAATTTAAAAGAAATGTATCAACAGAGAATGTCATAAGAAATAGACAACAGGGAAAAAAAAAGTCAAATATAAATCTGGAGTTGAAAAGTATAGTAATTAAAATTTAAAAAACAAAAAAAAAATCACTAGGGAGGCTCAAGAACAGAAAAAATATTAAGCAACAGTGCAAGTCCACATGAAGAAATGAGCACCTCTAATAACTTGAGTACATAAAAATAGAATAAATGTAGTTTTGTTTATAACATCTTTCTTGTCTGATCAGATGTATTCAGGAAATTGTGTTGAGCTGGATATGATGGTGCATACCTATAATTCCAGCTACTTGAAAGACTGAGGCAGAAGGATTGCAAATTGGAGACCAGCTTAGATCAGCGTGTTTTATAAGCCACTGAGATTAATTTTTTTAAGTCAACATGTTATTTTTAATTTCCAGTGCAACCACAAAGAAAATAACTAAAAAAAAAAAAAGTTTAAGAAAAAAAGGGGTAATTAAAATGGTATACTAAAATATATCTATTTATCACAGAACAAACTACTAATGGATAAATAAAGGGGAAAAAAATGTGACAGAGAGAAAATGAAGAGCAAGATGCAGATGTAAGTCCTACCTTATCAGTAACTGTACTGAATGTAAATGAGTCAGACTCCAATCAAAAGAGATTGGCAGAAGTAGAATAAAAATTTAAAAAAAAAGAGAGAGAGAGAGAGATTGGCAAAAAAAAGACTTTTTAAAATAATACACCAATATGCAGCCTACAAGAAACAGGAAATTAGATTCAAAGACACAGGTTGGAAAAAAAAAAAAAGAAATAGTACCATCTTTTTGTATTTCAAATACCCAAAAAGAGTGATTGAGTGGCTATACAATATCAGGCTAAAAAAGTAGATGATGAAATTAAATTGGTATGTATAAATTGGTATATTCGATTGGTATATTAGCTATATCTATACATACCAATTTTAAAAGTGTATGCATCTAACCACAGGGTCCCAAAACACATGAAGCAAAAACTGATAGAACTGAAGGGTCAAACAGGCAATATAAGAATAATGGAAAACTCAACACTGTTTTCAATAACAGAAAAACTGGTCAAAAAAATCACTAAGGAATGGGAACCTTAAACAGTAAACCAGATAAAGCTAACAAACAACTATGTAACATTCCACCCGAGAGCACAAAGCACATTTTTCTCAAAAATAATACTGAATGTAAGGAATGAAGAGGAGGTAGAATATACACACAAGATTTGCTTCAAAGTCAAAATTGTTAAAATGATAACATATGTGTTGAGATGTTATGTTCTAATTTGCCTAGATTTACATATTTTTACAATTTTTCCTAATAAATTTAATAAAGAAAGAATACAGGAATTTAGGTAGAAACAAAGACTGCACAGTTTCAAATATAATGACATTAAAAGACTATTTAATATGGTTAAAATGCAGATTGGGCCATAATGCTAACTATAACTATCATCATACTTTCTATTTCCTTTAGGCTTTAAAATTATAATGAAAACTGAGGGTGGGTGGTGGGGGGAAGGGTGGGATGATTTAGAAGCAGCAATTTTGATCAGTTTTTCATAGGGCAGACAGGTATAAATGTGGATTAAGTATTGACATACAGAAAGATGTTTAAATTGATTTGAAGGTGGGTTGGGGAGAAGCTACAGAACAGTGCTGTATATATCAATAAACCAAACAAACCAAATCACCACCAATCCTGGTAATCATACTGATTAGATTGGTACTGGAGATGGGGGTAACAGAGGGGAGACTTAATAAAGGTAGCCTTAATTGTATCATTTTTATTTCTTACATTTATACTACTTCTGTTATATACATAGATACATAGATACATATATCTGTGACTGTGTGTGTGTATATATACAAGCTCCTGGTTGAACCTTCTTCATAAAAATGCTCTAAATAACCAGAGAAAAGAAGGGAAACAGAAAGAGATGAGCAACAAACCTAAAAGATCTCAAGTGAGAAAAACGTTATAGCAGAAAGAATCATCTTGAAAATTTGGGGAAGCTTCTCTGCTATTTTTGTAGTTACTAGCCTCTGCCTATCTGTCACAAATTCAGGAATCCTATCAGCCCAAAGCTTATAGCATACTCTTCCAGACAAGCTCAAGTGAGAGCACAGGCTCTACCAACCTTCGGATCTCTGCATCAGTAAATCCCTCCACGAGGTCTTTCCTCACACTTCGGGGACGCCCTCTGCGCTTTGGCTTCTTGTCATCATCAGAATCATCTGTCTCACTCTCTGAAGCAGAGGATCTCTGGGCCTGCCTCTTAGACTCTGTGTCAGAATCACTGTCATTTGTCTGAGCCTAAGAAAGAATAAGATCACACTTTAACAAGTGTCAGAGCCAAGAGATGAAAGGACTAAATCAGCCCATCTTAATTCTTTAATATTCAGAACTTCCCAACATATCAGACAAGTCAATTTCTCCTTTAACAAATAACCCTATCTCTGAATAAAATACAAAATAGGACTGGGGATGTGGCTCAGTGGTCAGGTGCCCCAGAGTTCAATCCCTGGTACCGCACACCCACCGCCAAAAAAAAAGAAAAAAAATATTGCTTGGGGTAGACAGGTTCAGAGACTCTGAAATATGAAATAAGTGAAATGGATTTAAAATATTTGGATATTTTTATAATATCTACTATATAAAATATCCAATATAATATTGGTTCATTTTTGTTTCTTTGTGCTTTTGTCTTCTCCTTTGTAAAATGAAAATAAAATTATAAAATGGACCTGTGAGATAGGGTTTTCAGATGAATTAAATGAATCAATAAGTGAAAATACATTAAGAACTATGCCTGGCACATAGTAAATGTTAAATGTTTAAACTATAGTGATGGACAAATCTAAGTTTGCTATCTCCAACAAAATAATTACTAAAATTAGTTTTCTCTACTTCCATGTTGCTACAAAAAAATCAAATTAGATGTACTTGTAAGGATGTTTTATAAGCTATACAACATGGAAATGTTCCTTGGTTTTAGTTAGGTAATTTAAGTATTTTATATATATATATATATATATTTTTTTTTTTTTTAGGTTTTTTTAATGTGGTGCTGAGGATCAAACCCAATGCCTCATGCGTGCCAGGCAAGCACTCCACCACTGGGCCCCAGCCCTTAGTTATGTAATCTTTTTATTTATTTATTTATTTTGGGGGGGGTACTGTGGGTTGCACTCAGGGGTACTCAACCACTAAGCCACATCTCCAGCCCTTTTTTGAATTTTATTAGAGACAGGGTCCCACTGAGTTACTTAGCACCTCACCATTGCTGAGGGTGGCTTGAACTTGCCATTCTCCTGTCTCAACCTCCCCAGCCACTGGGATATAGGCATGCATCACTGCGCCCAGCAGTTATGTAATCTTTTACTAAGTATTTACACCACATGCTGTGAACATGTGGTGTAAATACTTAGTAAAGGCAAAATATAAGATTTGGCTCTCCAAAAGTTGAAGGCAGAATTAGATCCAAACTGTTACGATTACTATTCTAATCTCTAAGGTAAAATGCAAACTACTGTCAAATTCAGATCCTGTAAAGCCATTTCATGCAAAGCTAAAATTGCAAAGACTTAATTCAAATGTTTCTGTGTGAGCTCTTTGAATTTTCCCATTTTCCTGTGCTAGTTTCCCACACTAGAACTGTGCTCTGCAGGTCTCTGTGTCAGGGCAACAGAGCAAGGCCTCCTTTTGAATAACCTGCTCTTACAGAGTCTAGATAGTACAAAAAGTACTTTCATATCTTTTATCTCACTTGATCACCTTTTTAGTGGAACTACGAATTCGGGGCAGCATATAAATTTCTTCTAGTTCCTTCTGTCTCTCCTCTTCCTCTACTTTTTTCCTTTGCTCCTCTGGAATGATCTCATCCCAGTCCTTGTGAGGACGTTCTTCCAGCTCTTCTTCATCTTCCATTGTTGCAAAATTGGCAACCTGAAAACAAATGAACAACCCATTGTCTGACATTTCTCCACTTCCAAACACCATCTGTCAAGACATCAACTTACTCAGTGCTTTTAAATTTAAGTAAAACACTGTGAGAACCAGGATTCCTATGAAATTCCATAATCAGATTATTTATACTAATCTTATATTTCCCCCAAAATCAACTTGTCAAACCTAGGGTCATCATAAATGTTACTGAAAAATAGGGAAAAAGATAAAAGATATAAACTGTTTTAAAAATTTGATTGAAAGACTATTAAATTCCACACATTTTCTAATAAATGTGACACTAATCAGATAATTTGGGTTTATTTAAACTATAAATGCTGAATACCTAATACTAATCCATGATGAACTTACATTACTATAAATTGCCATTCAATGGAGTTCATCTGAAATAAAGCATTATAATCAAAGCACTGATTACCTAGTCAACTAGTTTTCTTACTGACTTTTATAAATAAAAATTTTATATTTTATGAAATATAAACTGTAAACGTAGATAATGATTATATATGCCCAAAAGTATACTGTGGTCTAAGGAGTAAAGGTGAAAATGTAAAATGGAACAACCCCAAAAACCTAGAAGAATATCTCATATCAAATATTATTTAATATCCAATACTATGTGTACCGAAACTGTACATACCCCAAGAAGAAAAACAACCTGAATGTATGCTTGAATTTCACAGAACCAGACTGGGACTACAGAGAAACATCAATCAACTCTGGGCAGTGGTGTGCAGGCCTTAGGCCTTGGGTCCACTTTTTTTTTTTTTTTCCTAACATGGTACTATGTGATCGAACCCAGTGCCTCCCGTGTGCTAGGCAAGCGCTAATACTCAGCTACAACCTCAGCCCTCCACATTCTTTTAATAACTTTTTCCTAGCCCTTAGACTATCATGAAGTTACAAGAGCTTCTGGAAGTTCCATGGAATATTATGACTTTTTGCCAAAATTAATTCTTTATTTTTCAATAAGGACAATAAATTTATAATAAGATTTTCAAAACCTCAAGTCAAAACAAGGTATGATGTGAGATTATTCAAAACCAAATCTTCTGGGCTGAGGATGTGGCTCAAGTGGTAGCGCACTTGCCTAGCATGCGTGAGGCACTGGGTTCGATTCTCAGCACCACATTAAAAAAATAAAATAAAGATGTTGTGTCCACCTAAGAAACTAAAAAATAAATATTAAAAAAAAATCTTTGACCATTCTTTCAAATTAAGGATCCAGCTGAAAAACAAATGCAATGGACTAGAGAGCTTTCTAGGATACCTCTCTCTCTGCCAGGTAAGGACACCATATGAGCACTCTGCAACCCAAAAGACAGCTAGCTCTCTCCAGAAACCAATATGTTGACACCCTCATCTCAGAAGCCTTCAGAACTGTGAGACAAATCTCTGTTGTTTAACTGCTCTATGGGTATTTTGTTATAGTAATCAAGATGACTTAAGACAAATAACAATAACGCATCTCTGTCCTTTTCCATGACATCCTCTGCATCCTCAGATGCATGAATTCTAATCCTGAGCTTTTGCCCCAAAATTCTTCCCTTGTTACTCCACTGAGACAACTTCCGCTGCTGGCCAACCGTGGAGTCCTTTACACTGTAGTGGTTGTTTCCAAACCCTCTTTATTCCTCCCATGAGCCTATGGGCCTGCTGCACTTAACCATCACTATAACCTCCAGGTCTCTCTTACTACTCTATCCTGTGTTGAATCAACCCATGCCAGATCCTTCCAACTATGTTCTCATTTTCATCTAGGAAACCTTTGCTATTTTTATTTTCTATGCTTCCCAAGCCAATCTCCAACTTAGGATTGCCAGCTGATCCAATTTCTCTGATCACAAGTACTAATGAAGAGAGTCATAAGAGGGGTTAGGGTTGGGATTGTGGCTCAGTGGTAGAGTGCTCGCTCGCCTAGCCCATGTGAGGCACTGGGTTTGAACCTCAGCACATTAAAATGAAATAAAAATATTGTTTCCACTTCTTAAAAAAAAAAAAAGAATGAAAGAAAGTCATATGATTCTGCTAACCAACTCCACAGAAAAGCCATCTCATTTAGATTCAGCTGATTCTCTATCAAGTTCTTCCCTAAAACTCACCCACAGCTGTCCCAAATCTTTTCTATCTCTCAGCAAATAACCCACTTACTTTATTGGTACTTAAGGTCACAAACTAAATTCCCACATCTCTTCTATTCCCAAAGATGAACTTTTTCTTTTATTTTCCAAGGCCAAATCCTCTACCTGGGCTTTTGATTGTATCCTTTTCTGTCTATTCTGGAATGTGTCAAAAGGTCATGTTTTCTTAGAATCTTCAATACACTTTCCTATTTTCAAGTTCTTTTGTCAATCTAGTAACATGGTAACATCTTTTTAAAATCTTAACTCCTTAATCTTATTTTCTTTGGGGGGTGGGGGGGGGATATTGGGAATTGAATTTAGGGGCACCTGACCACTAAGCCACATCCCCAGCCCTTTTTTGTATTTTACTTCGAGACAGTCTCACTGAGTTGCTTAGAGCCTCCCAATTGTTGAGGCTGACTTTGAACTCGTGATCCTCCTGTCTCAACCTCTGGAGGTGCTGGGATTACAGGCATGGGCAACCATGTCCAGCTTCTTTCTACCTTCATAAATTACTGTCCCTAAGATTTTTGGTAAATACCAATGCTCAGTGGTGCCACCCTGTTCATCTGGTGCCCAGCGTCCACATTTAGCCCTCATCTCATTTAATTTTGTTTCAACAAACATTACTAACCCCCTTTACAAAAGGAAGAAATAAAAAATAAGCACTACCAAGCCTCCCAAATGCACAGCATTTAATTCCACTTGTGTTCCTCAGATCCTCCAAACTCTGGTCTACATCCATCCCACTGACAACACATTCTTAGCCCTCTTTGCCAGCTTATTCTCCTCTGCATGCTGACTCTGGGCAGACAGCCCACTTCAGTGGTTACCTTCATGAGGAAGACTGGAGATTACGTTTACAACATACTTGTAACTAATAATGATAATGAGGATAAACAGAGTGCCTAGTACAAAAAAAGTACCAAAGACATGAGTAAATACTACATAATGAATCAATGTGCAAGAACTCTTTCCCAATAAGATCTTCATACCTTAAACTGTGATAAAAGCTCATCTGTCGCACTTGTTGACACTTCATTCTCTCTGGTTTCAGCCAACCGTAGAATTTCATCTATATCCATTTCCTGAAGGAACAGATATAGTAATTTTAAGAAATTTAAAGAAAAGCAAGAGTCTTCAACATTTAATGAAAATGTTAAATGCAATAAACCAAATTTTTTCCTGAAATCCTATTTATTCTTATAACTCAATCCTATAATCTTTGTATCTAACTTTTTGTGTAGTTTATGTGCATGTTTTTGTATGCAATGCTAAGGATTGAATTCAGTGCCTCGCACATTCGAGGCAAGTGCTCTGCCACTGAACCAGAAGCCCAGCCCTATATCTAATGTTTTAAATTATTATTTATGCAAATGATAAGGTGAAACTAAAAAAATATTAGGGGAAAACATAAAGACAGAATCCAAAAAGGATTTATTCATTCTTGCCTATTTGATTTAGTAAGAGCACTAGGTTTTGGAAAGAAAAAAGGAAAGAAAGAAAGGAAGAAAAAGAAACTATGTCCCTTCAAATACTTAATAAGCCTCTGACACACTCAGAATCTGCTTCCCAAAATATTTAGATTCTCATAGATGATTCTTCTCAACAAAAGTTTTCCTCACTGTTAATTACCTGAGGCTCTGACTCTTCCCCTTCAAGTTCTTTGAAGAGATCCTCTGCTCCAAATTTCAAAATCGCTGTCAGTTCTTCTTTATTAAAAGGATTTGAGCTGCAGAAGTAAAATGCAGTTGCAATCTCTTAGGAATGTCAAATAAGCACTAAGGAGATATACTTCAGAATACCTATCATTTATACAGGGGAAAAGGTAAATTTTGTCCCAAGAAAAAATGAGCCACAAATACTTCATTTTTTATCCACAGGATTAGTCTATGGTTAGTAAATCAGAAGCCTAGAAAATCAATTCCTGTCCAGTTGGCTCAAATTTATATGATTAAGCAAGAAAAATGAATAACAATATGAAAGAGCTTTCACTCTGCCTTTTATAAAGTTTTCACTCACTGAGAATTTTCAACCTTTTCAACTATGATCCAAAATAGAATGCATAAAGCTCTTCTCACTTAGGAAAATTATATGAAAGCATTCTATTTAGGAAAAACTAATTTGATTTCACCTTAAACACAACTACAGCAGTCTATAATCTGATCAAAGTGTCAACTCACAATTTCCATCTAAACATTTCTGTCATCATTAGCAAAAAGCACAACAATCTCCACACAAATATTTTTATACACAGTGAAGTAACAGCTGCCAATTCAGTCTGGTGTCACTGTTGAAAAGTCAAAGGCAACACACAGCTTCATTGCGGCTGTTGTTGTATGTCACATGAGGAGCCAAAAGCAAGGGACAGGCAAGAAAAAGAGAGGACGAGTACATAAGAAGAAGGTGGGAGAGTGTAAGGCAAGGAAAGCAAAAATAAATGACCTGGCTTCTTTCTTGCAGTTATGATCTTTTCTTAGTTAGATAATGAATGGACTCACAATAGCCAGTAGGTAATCCTATTAGAATTATATCAAATGTGGGTATAAAATCAACTGAATTCTGCCTACCTCTCCAATCTTTCTAACACTTACTTAGATCTTCCAGAGTTGTTTTCCAGAACTGTCCGGCCAGTGGTATCCATGCGCTGAATCACCAGATGGTCCAATACCATCTTCTTTTTGGCCCGTTCTATGATTTCCTCTTCCACAGTCCCCTTTGTAACTAAGCGGTAAATATTTACCTATAGGAAAATAAAATGTTATCCTTATGTCTGACCAAACAAACACCAAGGGAGGAAAAAAATTATGCTCTCTACTACCATAAATGACCATTCATCCAAGTAGGCAGCTTAAGTAGGCTGCATTCTTTAAAAATGTTGCAGGCTGTACTCTTATTAAATAAAATTGCTTCAAACGATGTTATTACAGCCTTATTCTAATAACAAAAAATCTTACTAAAGATCAACCAGTTTCACTGATGGAAAAAACTGAATCATTGGCCATGACTGAAACCTATGAGTTAGCTATTGCTAGAACAGACTTTGAAATTCATATACAAAAGAAACTAGCATGTAGTTTTCCAATATAGTACAAAGCTAACATTACCATGAATAAGAACACATTTTTTCAGCAATGCTAGAATATTTAGCAACTACTTGATATTAAAACAGGGAAAAGGTTTGGCTCTAACCTTTTCATACATATCAGTCTATATCATACATCTTTTTTTGGTTAATTCACAGAAAGTGAGAACTGATATACTTTCAAACAGAAAGATTAAGAGGCCTTACTAGGTTCATCTTAGCCCAAAGCTATCTTCTCTTATTTGTACTATTTATTAAACAGAAATTGACACTTAGGGACAATGAAAGATAAATGGGAGAAAATAAGTATTATACAAACACCCTGAAAGGTCTGAAAAAAACCACTTACTCCGATCCCAAAGCTACATCCAGAAGCCTCTCCCCACTGACCTGCTTCTTCTGACCAATTCTGTGGGCTCGGGCTTGTGCCTGCAAGTCATTCTGGGGGTTCCAGTCAGAGTCAAAGATGACCACTGTGTCCGCTGAAGCCAAATTGATTCCCAGGCCACCAGCCCTTGTCGAGAGCAGGAAACAGAAGTCCTGTACACAATGCAATATACTACTTTATGCAGTGGCCTTCTCAGAAACAGTTTCATACTCCAATAAGCCCTTATACCTGGAAACCCCTGCAGGTATGAAGAAAAGTGAGATATGATGGACAAACTTTACGGAAGCTAAAAGAAGGTCAGGGGCTTGATGGCAGAGGGAATTTTCATTTGATTAAAAGGAAGAGTCAATGCAGTGAACAAAGGAGTAAAGTAGAATCTAATAAGGCAACAGGGACTAGAGAATAAGTGTTATCTCCTGGATAAAACTACTATATAAGAAACTAACTGAAAAGTCAAACAAACTTAATTATTGTAGGAATTGTTCCACCAAGTTACCCAGATACATATTTTCTGGGGAAAGAGAGATTATGTTTATACTAATGCAAAGCAATTAATATAAACAAAGATAGTTAACTCTGTACATATTGATTCATTTGTTAGGCTGGTGAGGAACATAGAAACTGCATTAAATAGATCACATATTGGAACTCGTAAAGAGCACAGGGTCCTCCACCACTGCAAAAACATGCAAAAAGAAAACCCCAAGGCTTGGCTGAAGAGAGTTGTGTAGTAAACACTTAGACACTGACAACCTCCAGTTTTCACAGCAATAATAGTAAAAGAATAGGCAGGCATGGTGGAACTGCCTTCACCTGAAAGCTCAGAGGAAAAGAATAAATTGTATAAGTCACAGAGGAAAAAAGCCAAAAGGGTTTCTATTTTCAGGAAATTTGATCATGTATATCAAAAGCAATGCCTTTTTGGCTCAGAAGTGGGACATAAAAACTTGTAGTGTAGGGTTACATCTTGATAAATGGGCATATTTAATATACATATGTAGACACAACAAAAAGGTCTCCAATATTCAAACAGTAAGATTCAAAAGCAAACAGAGCACCGTGGTGCATCCCTATAATCCCAGCAGCTCAGGAGGCTGAGATAGGAGGATCATGAATTCAAAGTCAGCCTTATTAGCAAAAGCAAGGCACTAAGCAACTCAGATTAAAATACCAGATAGGGCTGGGGATGAGGCTCAGTGACTGAGTGGCCCTGAATTCCATCCTCAGTAACAACAACAACAAAAAAGATTCAACAGCAACAGGAAATAGAAATAAAAATAGAGAGAGCTGTCTTGAAAGAATTTTAAACAATTACAATAAGGAATTATCAACAGGTGTGACAATGTATGGTAGTAGGTGATCCTTGTTGAGAAATACTTCTCTGAAGAGAAGCCTAAGGATAAATAGCAGATAGATTAGGATGAGTTACCAGAAAACTCAACAAAACATTAGCAAAATTCTTTTTTAAAATGCTCATACCCTCTTAATTATATCCAACAATAATAAAATCATTAAATCAATAATGTTATAGGCACAAAGAAATATTAGAAATTAAATTCTGTAATAGTTTAATAACATGGAGAAAATGCTCCAAGCATAATTTTGAATCAAAGGTGACAACAAAGCCATATGCGGCATGATCCCAATTTGGTAAATATATACAGTAATAAATAGTTTTAGCCAATATTCATTTAAATTTACATTCACATGTTGTGAAAAGCAAGTTGTCTCTGGGATGAGGGTTTTATATAATTTTTCTTCTTCATGCTTTTTACCATCAAATTTGTTAAATGGCATGTTTTTCCAAAATAGTATTTCATTTTTTAAAATTAATTTTAAAAAGACTATAGGGAATGGTGCAGAACTTATATTTATATACAGCAATGAGGGAGAGCAGAAATCAATTGAGAATTATACAGAAAGAAATGTCAGAATTTGACTTTTCTTTGAAAAAGGACAATAAGAAACATTCAACTTACACTTTTTGTGTTGGGCTGATGGACATAGGTGTAGGGATTAAACCTAGGACCTTGAACTTGCTAGGCATATGATCTGCCACTGCAACTCAAACTATCTCATATTATCTTTTAAACTAAGAGAGTACAAAGCCAATTTCAATATATAGCATAATAAAAAGAGCTGACGTTTATTGAGTGTGTACTAGTGTCAGGCAATGTAAACCAGTATCAAACTTAATCATTATAATAATATTATGAATTATGTTTTGGAATCATTGTACTTTGGCAGTTGATGAAACAGAAGGGAAAAGAGAGATGAGAATTAGGTGATAACCAATGCTTTTGGTAATTCAATTCCTCATTTCTAATGACTCAATCTTGATCCTAAACAGATTAATAACCAAAGCTCTAAAAGAAAAGTAAAATTTTAGGCTACAGAAACAGCCAGAATACCAGTCTAATAGGATTGTCTGTGACTCTAGAGGTAGAAGACATATCCATATCATTCTGTAATAATAAAATGGACAATTAAAGCTTTCCAGAAAGTAGAACACTAAATCTATTCTATTTAAAAACAAAAACAAAACAAAACAAACGTAACCCAGGCTTTTCCTCTTCAATACTTCTAGACCTTCTACACTGCTTCCTTTACCTCTGTACATTATTCTTTTTTTTTTTACACTAAAGCTTTTTTCTCTCACTTCTCTCAAATTCCATGTTAGTTGATCATTTGAATATGATATACAGTATAATCAGCATTTCTAAATCTATTTTAAGTAGTTCTTATAAAGACACATCCTACACTACATACTTAACAATGCCAACTCAACTGAGATACTTGGTAATTTAAAAATGTTGCTGCTAACCAGAGTAGAAACATTAAGTAAGCCACATCATAATGGCAAATTTGAGAGAGGCATCATACTATTCAACCTTTAATTACCAAAGCAGTACAGATCAGAGCCTTCTGTTATATTGTACGTGTCAAAACTAATCCTTCTGGCAAGCCCTTTTCCACCCTTTCTTTTCTATTCTTCCAAGCCCATGAACTCACAGCTCAAGGTCACTGGAGAACTGTCATTAACCAGACCACAAAGCTAAACAAACATATGTATGCTTTAATGACATATAAACAACAAAGGAGGCATCTTTTATATTAGAGATTTCTCATTCTCAAGACAAGGGAACTGTACTACAAAATGTTTGTTTCTGAAACAAAATACATAAAGCTGAAAAGACTCTCCTCTTAATAGAGAGCCCAAGTTGCCCAAATAATAAAGCCATGCATCGAGTACCTCAGACCCATCTGCATTGAAGTGATCCAGTGCCTGTTTTCGGATTTCTCCCTTGATGGAACCATCCAGACGCTGTAAAAATAAACCACAAGAAAATCATAACGTCAGAAGATCAGCTACACTCAGAATAGAACACCAGACTTGCAACCTTTATTATCACCCAGTGTAAATATAACCACAGTGTAAATATAACCAGAACGATCTGGCAAAGTACTATGAAGGGGCTGTGCATAAGCAGCATACACTATGTAACTTGAGCTCTCCAGTTACAAACTCAAGGTCAGAAGCTTCTGATTCAAAGGGCTATCTGGGTTTATCCAAGAATCAGAATGACTACCAGGACCTATAAGGAGAAAAATGAAAACACAGCCTGTGCTTAGAGGCTTGGTTTACTTCTGTATTTGCCGGTATTGGGGAGATTAGCAAATTGTACCACTGGTCACCTAGCAATTAGCTCCTGCAGAAAAATGCTGTTTCTTAGGTAATGTGGTTAAAAATATCACTATTAAGTGCTATGTAAACCAAAAAATTACTTACATAATTTTTTTAAAAACTATTTTGTGGAATCACTAAAAAATGTTTAAAAAAAATCGATAACATATAACAAGTTTTCCAAAAACTACACTCTTGAAATCAGAGTAAAATGTCTAAGCAGCCAAATTACAACATCAATTAAAGAGAACCTTTGGCATTGACTAGGGCATACAATTTTTTTGTTAGAGCACAATGTCAATTTTAGATACAAAACAACTTTGTCATTGTAAAACTACCTAATATATAAAATAGAAATATTTTCTGTATGCTATATGTATAAAGCATTTCTTGCTATTTAAAGTCATTTTAACATTTTGTCTCCTTACCATCATGATTTGGGATAGAGTACTATGATACTTCATTTTACAAAAGGTAAAACTGACCTAAAGAGTGGCTAGCTACAGGCAGAGAACCTACATTTCTCCAGAGCTCTGCGACTGGATCAAAAGCCACCTAACTCAAGTCCACTCACATTTAGGAAGCTCCTTTTTTTTTTTCTCATTGACTACAATTCTACTCAGAACCTTGAACCAAACATATGTTTAAATGAATCAGGATCACAGCCTATATTTGAAATCAGAATACTTTAAAGGGCCTCCCTTTAATATTCCCATTAATAGACGACATTAGACACTACCTAAGTCACTGATTACTGATTAGATATGATAGACCTGAAGAATCCCAGATGAATTATTCACTAGAGAGAAGAGTTACACATTTATTGTATGTGTGTGTGTGTTTGTGTATAGATGGAACCCAGGGTCCAAGGCAAACCTTCTACCACTAAGCCACCTTCCTAGGCTAAGAGTAATGCATTATTGATTTAGAAGACATCAAATGATTACCTAGAAACGAAAGCTCACAGCACTGACACACTAACTGATCCTTTTGCACTGTGCTGTTTTTTGATAACAGTCACAGATATATTAAGTTAAAACAGCTGTTAAAAGACCAAAGGAACTGGGCACAGTCATACATGTCTATAATGCCAGTTAAGGGGGAGGTTACGGCAGAATGATTCCAAGTTCAAGGCCATAAGAACTTGTCTCAAAACAAAAACTATAAAGTTCGGGGATGAAGCTCAGTGGTGTGGTAGAGAATTTTCCTAGCACACACAAGTCTCTGGGTTAAATCCCTAGTACCACCAAAAAAATGAAATAAAATAAAATAACATGACATAAAATAAACAAAGACCACATAAGATATTTTGAATGGAACAATGAATTGCAAGGTATTCTGATAGCCAATTTGTTCATAATTCTTAAAGCTAGGCCTTCTTAAAAGATAATCACTGACTCCAAGTTCCTTCAATACCAGTACCATTATAAGAGTTGGTAAAACAGTTAGTTCAAAGTTGAAAAATAAAAATAATTTAAAAAATAAACCTAAAGAGTTTGGAGTACAGCTCAGTGGGAAGGACATGTATTTATTTATCATGCATGTGGCACTGGGCTCAATCCCCAGAACAAAAAAATTAAAACATAACATATTAAAATATAAGGTTTACAAAAGTAAACCTAACAGCCAACACACAATAAAAATACTATGTTGAGTCAAAATTGCACACATCTGCGTGTCTATAAACAGGTCACAGATAAGCTTCTCGTACACTGAATACCTCTAAAAATATTATCCTGAACAAACTCTTTTCCCATAGAACATTACAAAATTATACTAACAATTCCACGGAGGGAAGACCATCACTACTTGCTTTGGGATACAGTAAGGTTTCAATTTCCCATGTTGTTCTTTGTTTCCAAACTCACTCCAATGTCTACTTCATTTATGCTTCTCTTTCATTTTCTCCCCGCCTCACCCTACCCCCCAATCTCTCTTGAATTTGGGCTTCTGAAATTGTGCTCACATCCTTCCTACTTTTAGCACAGACTTGGAGATGTACGATACTTTCCTCATGCCTAATTCCCCTTTCTCTGATCCTCTCCACCCCCAAAAAAGAATGATATTCACATATCATTTACATTACAGATTTAACCTAAATTGGATAATGAAGTAAAAACTGAGACCTCAAGCTAAATACGTTTTAGCAGGAAATTTTTTGTTTGCTACCTTAATAAGCCAAGTACTCCTTGTGTGTGTGTGTTGGGGGGGGGGGGTTTGCATCAACAAAGCTAATAAACTACCTTACCTGGAAAGGATAATGCTTAATAGTCAGGTACTCAGCCAGGATATCCAACATTCTCACCATCTGAGAGAAGATAAGGACTCTGTTCCCCCTTTCTCGAAGTCTTGTCAACAGTTTGTCTAAGAGAATCAGTTTCCCACTGCTCCTGATCAGGGACTGAAGATTAAAAACACATTCTAATCATCATGTTCAAACACATAACTACTGAAATGCTCTTTTTAATCTTGTACATGTGATACTATATTTGTTAGATTTTTTTTTCCCCACTTATTTAACTTTTCTCATATGTTTAAGCTTCTTTTGATGCTTTCCTTGAAAATATTATCCAGGAAGAAAATCAATATATTTATAAAAGCACCTATAGAAACTAAACTCTTTGAAGAAAGTAACTGTGAACAATAGGAACTACATACCAGAAGAATCTCCTGTCCATTTTCCCTTTCATTTTCTTCAGGAGGTTTAATTAGATAACAATGGTTGCAGCATTTTTTCAGTTCCATCACAATATTAAGAAAACCAGACGTACTGCCTCTTGTTCCTTTGGCAAGAGCCTTATAATTCCTGGTCAGTATCCATCTGTAAATTAAAATGATAATGATACTATTAGACTCAAGGAAAAAAGAGTGTTATGGTACCTGAAGATACATGATATTATTAAAAAACCAAAAAGGACTAAGAGAAGTTTAAAAAGCAGGGAGGGTTTACCTTACATCTCCAGTCACTGAACTACAATCTCTCTTAAATGCTACTTACTCTACTTGATATTTCAACCACACTGAACACAGGGATAATAAAAGGAGATCTCTCTCTCTCTCTCTCTCTCTCTCTCTCCACACACACACACACACACACACACACACACACAAAACAGATTATCACTGAAATGCTTTATTGCAATATGAAACTAGAAACAGGTCATGTAACAAAAAGACACTGGTTAAATAAATTAAGATAGACCATAAGTTTAAAAGCTATATACCCATTATACCTGTTGTAAAAAAGTATTTTTTATACAATAAATTCTAAATGACTTAAGTATGACTCATTCAAAATGGGAATGAGGGGAGGAGAAATAGACATATGTAGGCATACTCATGTGTAATTCGTAACCACAAACTCCCAAATATTTAAAATACTTTTCCCTTGGGACTGGGGTTGTAGCTCAGTAGTAGATAACTTGCCTTGTATGTGTGAGGCACTGGGTTTGAAATCTCAGCACCACATAAAAATAAATAAATACTGTGTCCATCTACAACTAAAAACATATTTAAGAAAATACTTTTTCTGAGTAGTGAAATTTTCCTTTTATGTCTCTCAGCCACTTTTAGAAATCTATCTCAAGATTTTCACTGCAGCATTATTTATACAAGTGATGTATTTAAAGCAACTCAAATGCCACCACAAGGGAACTGACTAAATAAACCATATTACAGATCCACAATGGGATACTATGCAACTGAAAACAAGTATCTTTATTATCTATAACACAGTGTGTTTCAAGTGAAAAAAAAAAAAGGTAGAGAAACATACAGCTAAGGAGGAAATTAAAAGGTTAAAATGCACATGGGTGTATTTTTAAATAAAGACATTTAAAAAAAAGGTACGCATTAAAATGTTAAAATAACAATATTATGTAAAAAAAGAGAAACCAGAATGGAGGGAACAGGGATAGAAGGTAGATTTCTTTGAACATTCCAGATTTTGTATCTTTGTCTTTGGAATTCCAAACATTATATATAAATAATTAAAAAACAATATGATCCCTGAAAATGAAAACCAAAATAAGTAAATCTATGTATTCCATTGGTGGCCTAAACACACAGAAGAAAAACCATCTCAAGTGTTCAACACTAATCCATTTCTCATGATATATATTTTAAAATAAACAAATAAATTTAAACCTACTTTTATTATTCATATTTTAAGTGGTAGTCCTGGCACAGTTATGGATAGTATATACTGGGTTGATGTAGTTGAGAACTGGGATTTTTAGTATGGGTATAAAAGCCATAAGATCCAATACAACCTCTATAGTACAATATAAGTGCCTTTGGTATCTACAGATGCTCAAGTCTCTGATATAAAATGTAGTATTTGCATATAATTGATCCATATCCTCTTATATACTTTAAATCATATCTAGATTACTTTTAATACCTAATATAATGTAAGCACTATACAATTAGTTCTTATACCATATTGTTTAATTAGTGATGACAAGAGAGTTTGTACATGTTCAGTACAGATGGAAGTTTTTCCTGAATATCTTGATTCATAGCTGATTGAATCCCCAGATGCTAAGCCCACAGATAGACGGCCAAGTGTAGTATTGAATACCCAGATGCTAAGCAATTTGTAATGGTAGTTTTATCTTCAAAAATAAACTTCCTAATTCTCATCAATGAAAATGCTTGTCCAGCACAGATGTGGAAGCACATGCCTATAATCCCAGCTACTAAGGAGACTGAATCATGAAGATTTTAAGTTCAAGGCCAGCCTGGGCTACTAAGTGAGATCCTGTCTCAAAATGAAAATAAAAAAGGGCAAGGGTATAGCACCCCTGGGTTCAATCCCCAGCACTAAATACAAAAGTATCCAGCACACTGTAAAGAACACCTCTAGACCCCATTCTGTGATATCTAAGTACCATGCCCCATAAAACAGTATGCAGATTTTCTTAGATAAAAGGCCAAGTCTTGTTCCAAGGGAGGAAATATACATGATCAATCTAGAACATTTTATCATTCCAGAAGTGACCAAGCTAGCAACTAGTACAGGATGAGCATTACTAATTAAACATCCAAAATGCTCCAAAATCTAAACATTTTTATATGCCACTATGACACTACAAAAGGAAAATTTCACACCTGACTTCTTGTGACAAAACAGTTAAAATACAAGCTCACTGAAAATAGCATATAATGTTACCTTCAGGCTACGTATAAACGGTATGCATAAGTATAAAACAAAAGAATTTCATTTTTGTACTTAGGACCCATTCTCAAGATTTCTCATTATGTATACACAATATTGCAAAATATTAAAAAATTAAAATATGAAACACTTCTGGTGCTAAGCATTTTAGATAGGAATAAGCCTGTATTCGTGTTATGTCAATTTGAGTCAGATAGCCAACTCAAATTATTATCTTTTGAAAATGGCAAAAATCCAAAGTATTTACTCTGCCTTTTGAATTTTTCCTCAGTTTACATGGGGGAACTTTTTTTTAACAGATGTATTCAACCTTTAATGAAAAGCATGATAAATTCTGAATAACACTGTTTTGTAAACTCTAAGTGAATTAATGTATATAGGCAACGCTCTTCTGCTGATATCACAAGCAGAAAGACATCTCCCATGAAAGAAAATAACTTTGCATTCTAAGAAAGAGTTATGCTGAATCTGAGTCTAATCAAGCCTCTATATTTATATATGAGTGTATAAAACACACAAGTTCAGAGGAAAATGTTAATGATGCAATGGAGCTAAAATTGACAAAATCCAGATGTGAGAAAAATCTATAGAACATACAGTCAGCCTCTTCACACAAAAATTGATAAAACAAGGGAAGAAAAGAATTAAAATAAATGTAAGAGATATACAAACCAATCATAATAAATGGAGCAATGCAGATACCAAGACAAACAAACAAGTGTGTGTGTGTGTGTGTGTGTGTGTCTGTGTGTGAACCAGCAAAAGTAAAATTTACTGGACAATAAATGTTATGTAATTATTGATTTATCTTACAGTATTGTAATAACTATCAGCAACAACAACAAAAATGTCCTTATCTTTTAGAGGTACACACTGAAACATTTATGGCATGTTTATAGAATATATTTTAATACAATGGGGAGGTGCAAGAAAAGATAGCTAAACTAATATTGAGAGTGAGTTAATAATTTTTAAAGCTGGATTATGGGGTACATGAGTATGTACTATTCTACTTATGTCTTTGAAATGTTCTACAATAATGATTTTTTTAAAAAAAAATCACAATGAGGGGCTGGGAATATAGCACAAGTGTAGAGCATATGCCTGGCATTTAGGAGGCCCTTGGTTCAATCCCCAGAACCACCACCAAAAAAAAAAAAGAAAGAAAAGAAAAAGGAAACAAAAAGAAAAAAGTCAGATAATTTTTAAAAATTAAAATCTTAAAGCCTATTACAAGCACATTATATATTGACCTCTGTCCCAAATCCATTATTTTGGTTTTAAGGTATTATAGACTAAACCAAATATATAACTTGCCTGTCACTTGGAATGCTAGAATGATCAAATATTCAACCTATAGCAAAATGGTGAGAGGTTTTTCTGAACCTTCACAAGCCCCAACTTACACCTCCACTGGTGAACAATGGTGTGCTCTAAATATTTGTCTCTTGTCTACGTTCCCTATCACAGCAAGGATTCTGGCAGGCACATATTCCATTTATTTTCATGTTCCCTGTAACTAGTAGCCAAGCACTTTGTAGAAGGTTAATAAATAATTTAATAAGTGACAAAGAAAAGAAATAATTACAAATAAATATTTACTTGTGTCTATTGGTAGGGGGAGTAATATGAAGAATGAACATATACTTCAGACCATTTACATAATAAAAACTGCAAATTCTCAGAGACAAAAAAAGCAAGAATACCTCTTTTCTGACCAAATATAAATTTCGACTTAATCTATAATGTGGCTTCAGGGGTTAAAAAAACACAAATTATGTCAAATATCTATCTAATGGCTTTACAGTACTGATCTCAATCACTTACGACCTAATCCAGAAAAAAAACTTGCTTACTTGTAATACTGTTTCTGAAGGGCCGACATCTCTACTCTGAGAATCTGTTCCACTTTGGCAGGAAGGGATTTCTCCACATCTTTTTTGACTCTCCGGAGAAGGAAAGGCTCTAGCACCTTATGAAGACTCTGGTAGCCATTTTCTCTTCCCTTTCCATGGTCTTCTTCAAAATCTTCCCAGAATTCAAACCTATGGACATAATGATCATATTTTTACTTAGTTACAGAAAGATAAAAGATAATTTTTACAACTAAAATTTCTTCTACAAGAAATCAAATGGGAAAAGAAAAAAAAACTGTTAAAACAAAATGAATCTTTCCCACAAAGAAAGACAAATTCTACCCATCAACTATCTCTTGAACAAAAAAGAAACAAAAAGGAAAAGGAAAATCAACTGAATTGATTCTATCAGTCTACACTGGATAATAGCAGATTTCTAATTCCTCAGATTCAATCAAGAGTTTATAAAATATTGTGGTAGATCATTCACTTATAATGTTAGTAAACATAAGTTATTCTCATGAAATGTTACACAAAACAATCATCAACTATCTTTTGATAAGCTACAATTTCTTGGGGAAATAAATGCAGAGATAAAAAACAATTAATGGCAATACTATTATAGTAAGTTACAGCTCAAAGGTAAAAGTTACATAACTTTTATCAATAATCTTCACAATACAGGTAAAAAGTTAATGCATTATAATGATAATGAGCAAGATTATAGAAAAGACATGAAGATCAGTAAATAATCCACCTTTAATACTAACAGAACTTGGGGACATATTTCATTAGTGAATTCAGATAGTGCACTCATAATAATCCTACCTAAATGCTCCAATAAAAGTTTCTCATTTATAAATCTTAATCTACTAAAGGATCTGTTGCAGAAATCTAGAATGGGACATTATCACTACTTTCAAAAATAAAAAATGAGGAAAATTTATTTCATGAAGATTATGTGCTTTATCTCTCCACCATTGAAGCTCTTGAAAAAAATCAGCTTGGTTCTGTACTATTCTACTTACATGAATTAACTGAATTGCACAGGTAAAGGCACAATGTTCATTTACTGAAGCTAGACTTGGAAGCTGAACCACTGTCCTAACACCTGTTGTATGACACCAGTGGGGCTGTTCTGCTGAGACCAGTCAAATGTCAGACAGCCCAAACCAGGTGACCAACATTAAATAGAACTCAAAAGCATATGCCATCTGGGAGGACAGAAGTCAGAGACAGCATACCGACATGACAGTCTCAATAGTCCATTGTCATTTCTGAACTCTTAAATAGCCAAGCACTTCATCAGGTACTGCTAGGTAGACCAATTATCAGCCTTAACTACATTTGGCAAAGCCTGAAATATCTTCAGGGAAGTAGACAAAATATTCTCTTGTGGCATAAATCCAAAACACTTATTAGACGAATAAGAGTATAAACCTAAGTTAAATGTTTCAAGAACAAAATAAAATAAATGAGGAATTAAAACTAATAAAACTCAATTTTTAATATCAATGTTATTTTATTTTTAAACATAAGAACATTTATTGTAAAATGAATATCATAGTGGTGGACACAATATATCACATACAAAATTACGAAGTGACTGAAAATCAGTAGAATAGTTACTATCAGGTCATTTTCTAAATACCTAGGAGATCATTTCAAAAAGCTAATTTCATTAAATGATTATTATTTTAATTATGGTAGTCTAAAAAATTAAGCATAACCATTATAAGATTTACTTCCTACTATTTTAGGCAACAAATATTTTTATATGGCTACTGTATTCTTATTGTAGTAAAGGAGTTGTTATGAGATATAATTTTTTTAGCTACACATACTGAGGATATACACATATCATCCAAAAAGTTGTGAAATGTCAATAGTTGCTTTCCCTCTAAACAACAGAGATAAATAATTGTGACATAAACTGTATGGCCCACAGGCAAAAACTTATTTACTATCAGAACCTTTAAGGGGGGGGAAAAAAAAGAAACTTTAAGAAAGTTTGCTGCTTTGCAATGATAATTATCATATGTTCCAAAATATAAGATCATAACTGTGAATTCATGGCTCTCTATCATATCTAGAGATTATTTTAGAGACATCCCTGCTATCAACTTTTCTCTCACAAAAGTAGAAATGATTTTTTTTTAATTATCAAGACCTTGAACACTTTTTAAAAATTGGTTACTGTAGTGTTTTGAGAACAAAATTTTCAAAGAACAAAGATCTATTCCACAGAAAAAAAATAACTGTATGCCTAACTCCAATGCATTACTTCATAAATGATTCAGCTCAAAACTCTAGAACATATTACCTGAATGATAATAAATATCTAGCAAAAAAATCAACTCAAAATTCCTCTTTAATTACAAAGCAGGACATATGATTTTTCCCCAAAAAAACATAGCCAATTATGGATGGAATATGATGGATGCGGAACAAAAGAAGCCCAAATCCTTATGATCCACGTCAGCAGTCAGGTATACAAAAGTAAACCCTAGTAAGTATTCCTTGCTAGAAACTACATACCACATTCTACGCCTAAAAAGCAAGCATGGGGTGCTGGGGTTGTGGCTCAGTGGTATAGTGCTCATCTAGTATGCATGAAGCACTGGGCTCAATCCTCAACACCACAAAAATATAAAAATAAAGATACTGTGTCTACCTAAAACTAAAAAAAAAAATAAACATTTGAAAACAAAAACACCAAACATGGATGTTACCACTGTGCCTCATGATTCCTACTATGCAGGCGGCCTTAATGGTATTGTGAAGAAAGTACTTTTTCCTCTTAGAGCCTGAAGTTCAAAGGGAGTTGGCCTTGTTCCATCCACTTATTAGGTATATAGTATAAGACATATTTTTATAATCTAAAAATCATATTCTTATTAGTAATAAGAGACCTAAATATGTACCATGTATCAAAAAAATCAATATGAAAAAATGATAAAAAATTGGTTTAATATGCATAAAACTTCTTACCCATTTTAGAAAGATTAAAAACTAATAATTTATAAACTCTCCTATTTCTAATCCTTTGTAGAATTTTTTTTAAACCTTCATCTTATATAAAAACAAACTTTTATTAAAAAAATTTATGTGAAGGATACCTGTTAAAGAATATATAGCAAATTTTTTTTAAAAATTTTTTTTTTGTAGTTGTAGATGGGACAGAATGGTTTCATTTTATTTGTTTTTTATTTTTATGTGGTGCTAAGGATTGAACCCAGTGCCTCATGCATGGCAGGCAAGTACTCTGCCACTGAGCTACAGCCCTAGCCCCAGAATGTTTTAAAAAGAGACTGAAGCAACTGGGCTGGGTTGTGGCTCAGTGGTAGAGCGCTCACCTAGCACGTGTGAGTCACTGGGTTTGATCCTCAGCACCACATAAAATTAAAGTTATTGTGTACACCTACGGCTAAAATAAATATTTAAAAAAAAGAGAGAGAGAGTGACCACTATTGACTCTCAAGAGCTCTAGGGAGGAAAAAAAAGCATCCAGGTGACAAGCAAAAGGACAGACAAAAGAATAGTGATAAAAAGGGGCAGGGCCAGGCATGGTGGTGCATGCTAGGCATGGTGGTGTGCACCTATAATTCGAAGAGCTCAAGAGACTGAGCTTGAGACTGAGGCAAAGGATCGGAAATTCAAAGCTTGCCTCAGCAACTTAGCAAGGTCTTAAATAACTCAGCAACATCCTGTCTCAAAATAAAAAAATAAAAAGGATGTGGGATGTGGCTCAGTGATTAAGTGCCCCTGGTTTCAATCCTTAGTACACGAAATGCCCACCCCGAAAAAAAGAAGGGGTAGGTAGGACACAATATGATAGGACAGCCTGGAAGACATCATCAGGAACCCTTCAACCATAGCAGTTCTCAACTGGTGGCAAGTACCCCCTCCACCCCCAGTCTGGAGATGTTTTTGGCTATCATTATACCAAGGAGGAATTACTACTGGCATATAGTGTGTAGAAGCCAGGGGTACTGCTTAACATCATACAATGCAAATGACAACCCCCATGAAAAAAATTATCCTGCCCAAAACATGCGAAGATTCACTTTCTATTCTATTTCCAGGTGGGGGTGGGGTTCACTTTAGGCTTATCCTATCAACAGTAGTAGTGAAGGCAGCACAGCTAGATGGTGAAGTTTCTCTACTTCTCAAGAGTCTTAAACAAGTCTTCACCAAAAAAAAAGGTCAAGAAAGAATAGGCAAGGACGATAAATTTGTTGCTAACATGCCCACCTTATAAGAAATACTAAAGGAAGTCTCAGTGGCAATCTTAATCGACAGGAATAAGTCACTGGAAATGATAAAATACATGAAAGGTAATATAAATGTATTCTTTTTAAGTTTCCTTAAAAGACAAACCTGTATAAAACAATGATAATATCACTGTATTCTTTGATTTATAACATGAGGAGTAAAACTGGAATTGAAATAGAACAAAAATGATATATTTTTAACAAAATTAAGTCAGGATTAACCTGAAGAAGACTGACAAATTCAGTTGCATAATCCCTAGGGAAATCAATAAGAAAATAATTTTAAAGTGAAAAATATTGCCAAACAGGTATTAATTAAATTGCACCCTTAAAAAAAAACTGAAACAAAAGGCAGTAAAGAAGAAACAAAAACAAAAGAGATATAAGACATATGGGAAACAAGTAACAAAAATAGATACAACCAATCAAAAGACAAAAACTATTAGTCTAGATAAAAGAGTATATCCAACTATATGTCATCAACAAGAGAGACATTTAGATTCAAAGAAAGAAATAGGTTGACAGTTAAATGATGGACAATGGTATAATATTAACCAGGAGAGAGCTGAGATGCTATAATAAAAATCACACAATAGAGTTAAGGAGGATTGGGGTTGGGGCTCAGTGGTAGCACACTTGCCTGGAATGTGTGAGGCACTGGGTTCGATTCTCAGCACCATGTATAAATAAATAAATGTCTAGCAACTAAAAAAAAAAAAAGACTTAAGGAATAAGAAATATTTCTAAAAGTAACATGGGGGCTGGGATTGTGGCTCAGTGGTAGAGCACCTGCCTAGCACATGTAAGCCCTGGGTTCAATACTCAGCACGACATAAAAATAAAATTAAAATAATATATTTTTAAAAACACAGCACGGAACATCTCATAATACTAAAAATGCAACATACAGGACAC